AACCAGCTATTGCTTTACCCAGCATGGTGTATATCTATATATAGTGGAGGAGTACTTAGGCAGTAGTTGTCCCCATCTGGCTCCATGAGTAACCATGAATGGTAATATCTAGGTTTAAATGTCTGGAAATGAAGAATTGCTTGGAGGTCTGGATGGTATAACTGGCAGCGCACTGCACAGTAAGCAGAGATTGCAGGTTCAAATTTCGCTTCAGGCTAGTTTTTTCTTCCAGACGGTTCTAAATTATTTAATAAATTTATTAATTTAGATAAGAGATGGTGCCTAACATCCACCTCTTATACCAAATTACTTAATATTTAATTATTAATAATAGCAAAATAATAGCTTGATTAATTATGGCAATCATTTGGTTTAGTAAAAATATCAATTTGTAGGAATACACTATGGTTCATAATTTTTCCCCAGGCTTAGGGGAAATCCCCAGCACCTATCCTCTCGATAGTCCTGCTGATGGTTATAAGCTAAAGACAGTGATTTGACTGAAATTGCTTCATTTATTAAAAGTGTCGGCTTTTTGAAATAAGCAGTACAGTACTTCCAGAAGCCAAATCAAATATTTGGCTTCTGGAAATACAGAATTACTGGAAAACTGACTAGATTTGAATTCGGAGGGTCATAGTACAACTGTAGTTCACCACACGACCACTTGATTTTTTTCCATGGCATACACATTGCATTATGCATTTTCTGGTATGACTGCTGTTGTGTGCAGGTGATCCTGTCACAGTTAACTGTCTATTTGTCAAAAAGGCCAGCTTAGTAATGGTCAAAAAGACCCTGCTTTATAAGTGTATTAATTTATATTTGTTAAATACAATTTCATTCTTTACTTTCATTGTTTGTTTTATAAGAAAAAATGGTTATTTTAAGTATATATTTAACCTATGTCTAGAAAACCACAAATTCCAGAAATCCAGAACACGTCTGGTCTCAAGCTTGCTGGATATTTGATTCAATATTGTAGCTTGATATATTTGTGAAAATGATGTCAAGTTTTGTGAAATTCTGTGATAAGCTGATCCCCTTTNATAATTTATTAAATAATTTAGAACAGTCTGGAAGAAAAGGACTAGTCTGGAGTGGGATTTGAACCTGCAACATCCTCTTACTGTGCAGTGCACTGCCAGTTAGGCCCCTGGACCTCCAAGCAATTCCTCACTTCCAGATGTATTTAAACCTAGATATAACCAGCTAGGTCAACTCCTATTCCCATTGCCTAAGTACTCCTTCACTATGGCACTCAACCAGCTATTGCTTTACCCAGCATGGTGTATATCTATATATAGTGGAGGAGTACTTAGGCAGTAGTTGTCCCCATCTGGCTCCATGAGTAACCATGAATGGTAATATCTAGGTTTAAATGTCTGGAAATGAAGAATTGCTTGGAGGTCTGGATGGTATAACTGGCAGCGCACTGCACAGTAAGCAGAGATTGCAGGTTCAAATTTCGCTTCAGGCTAGTTTTTTCTTCCAGACGGTTCTAAATTATTTAATAAATTTATTAATTTAGATAAGAGATGGTGCCTAACATCCACCTCTTATACCAAATTACTTAATATCTAATTATTAATAATAGCAAAATAATAGCTTGATTAATTATGGCAATCATTTGGTTTAGTAAAAATATCAATTTGTAGGAATACACTATGGTTCATAATTTTTCCCCAGGCTTAGGGGAAATCCCCAGCACCTATCCTCTCGATAGTCCTGCTGATGGTTATAAGCTAAAGACAGTGATTTGACTGAAATTGCTTCATTTATTAAAAGTGTCGGCTTTTTGAAATAAGCAGTACAGTACTTCCAGAAGCCAAATCAAATATTTGGCTTCTGGAAATACAGAATTACTGGAAAACTGACTAGATTTGAATTCGGAGGGTCATAGTACAACTGTAGTTCACCACACGACCACTTGATTTTTTTCCATGGCATACACATTGCATTATGCATTTTCTGGTATGACTGCTGTTGTGTGCAGGTGATCCTGTCACAGTTAACTGTCTATTTGTCAAAAAGGCCAGCTTAGTAATGGTCAAAAAGACCCTGCTTTATAAGTGTATTAATTTATATTTGTTAAATACAATTTCATTCTTTACTTTCATTGTTTGTTTTATAAGAAAAAATGGTTATTTTAAGTATATATTTAACCTATGTCTAGAAAACCACAAATTCCAGAAATCCAGAACACGTCTGGTCTCAAGCTTGCTGGATATTTGATTCAATATTGTAGCTTGATATATTTGTGAAAATGATGTCAAGTTTTGTGAAATTCTGTGATAAGCTGATCCCCTTTTTTTTTTTAATATTAATTAAATATAAAATTCTAAAGATTTTAATAACACAAAAGAACATTCCTTAAAATTTCTAAAATGTCATAATTTTTTGTTATACACAAATAAACAATTAAATTGTGTTTACATATTTTTTATAGTTAGTGTATGACAAGAGCCATATAATGCCTATCAGAAATACAAGAGCCACAGTCTTTATTGAAATTGTATTTTATATAAGGCTATACATAAAGCTGAGTTTACGCTGAGTGCAATTTGTTGGCGAAAGCAAATAACACATCAGTCATGACATCATTTCTGTCAAACTTTACCATTTCACAAATCACTTCAAAGTTCAAAACTGTTGAGTTTTTTTTTGCTAGTGTAAAAATTTCACCATCAGTTGTATTCCTGCTAGTTGTCACATGGTTCTTGTTTTCAAGATGACTAAAGAAACTTTCTCACGCAATTAGAGTAGATGTGATTCACTGTTCTTTTAATATTCCTCTGACCCAGCTTTTTCTTTCTGACGTATTTTTTTTTCTCAATAAATAAACAAACATGGTTAACAACAAAATATCTGAAGCAGCCATTTTGTTTTTCAAGATGACATTTTCTCTTGCTTGCAAATGATTGGCTGCTTAAAATTTGCAATTGCTTTTTGCTTTTAGTTGTGTGGATCAATTTTGCTAAGCGAATAAAAATCACTTTCACTTTTCTCATTCACTTTTGCTATTTGCTCAGTCTGAACTAACCTTAACTAATACAGGAGCTGGAGTTTGGCCACTAGGGGATAAAACACACCATAAAAATAGATTTTTAAAATTTTGATAATGATAGTGCAAGTGTGTTGGTGCCCAAAGAATTAAGGCAGCATAGAGGTGTCTGCCATTCTGTAGGCTGGGGTTTGAATCTGAGGTGAATTTTAAGAAATTTTTATAGCTATTGAATCCAGATTTGTCAGGACCTGTTTCTTATTTGTCCCATTGTAGATTAGGTCTCTGATAGATTTAAATAAAGGTCCTCAGTGCCCACAAGGCAGTAAGAGTTTCCAAAAAAAGTGCAAACATTACCAATATTATTAAAGTTACATTAGTTCTTTTAGAAAAAAATATATATTTCTTGAGACTATACATACAAGATGAATCAATTTCATTTGGTCCCTTCACATGCTGTTGAGGTAATAACAATTCTCTGGTGGAGTTGACCTTTTATTATAGGCTACTCGTCTGCCATCCTTGGAATTCTTATTACCTCAACAGCATGTGAAGGGACCAAATGAAATTGATTCATCTTGTATGTATAGTCTCAAGAAATATATATTTTTTTTCTAAAAGTAAATTTGTCCTGACAATTTTTTAAAATTACATTAGTCCTGTTAATAGTTGACAGCTAAATAGTTGACCAAGCAGTTAAGGTGGCAGCCTTTAGTTCTAAGATCAAATTCAGATGGGTCGAAAGAAAGAAAGAAAAAAAAAATAGGAATTTTTTGGGATAGTCCATCCAGATATGTCAAGTGCCATCCCTCCCCATCTGGCTACCTCAGTGTGGATCTAGCTAAACCCATAATGGGATGGGCTTTCTAAAAAGAGGTCCTCATAGTGCCCAAAAGGCCAAAAGAGTTAAAAAAAAAAAAAAGTCCCGTTAATACAGTTGACTTCATTTAAAATGAACATCAATAAAGCAAATAATTCTATTAAAGTGAATTTTGCAGTTGCCATGGCAAAATGTTATTGTCACAACATTACTTTTCATGCAATAAAGTGAACAAAAATTTTACTAGAATTTGTTAAACCAAACTGTCAATTACCTTCACAATCTTGAAGAAATAACTCTGTTTCTGATAACTGTTGCTTTTTACACTTTTTAACGTGAACAATAAAAAGTGGTACTGTAATAAATGTTCCATTTTGAGTAGGATAGATTTTCTTCTCTTTAGTAAGCAAAGATGGGTTTGATCATTGATTGTAGACCAATTTAAACATCTGGTTTAAGTTGACCACTCTACTGTACTGAGAAAATAGGAGTTAAAGTTTAAGGATGTCCACTCTTTTAAATGGTTGCTCTCCCATACAAACACATGCTAGTTTGCATATCTGGGAGTGCTTACAGTGATGCCAGGTTTGGCTACTTTGCACCAAATTTGACTCCTTTTTTATTCTTTAGGCATCAAAAAATTTTTTACTTTTTGTGGCTTCTGTTAGATACTTTGAAAGCAATTGGAAGAATGTCTATGATGCAATGTACCAGGCTTTCTATGCCCCGGAAACAGGCTTCTCAGCCTTTGTAATTAATGCAACCGCCCTTCATGGTGGCCTTAAAAATTTCTAGGACAGCCATAACCCTAATGTGTTCAGTTTGTGTGGAGCCGAACACATCAAGACGTATGATCACTATCCAGTTCTGAATCTGAAGAATTTTTTTGTGGTTTCTATTTTTTATTTTATGAATGTTTATATTGTGAAATTCTATTTACTAGTCCACCATTTTTTTAAATAGGATACTTTAAAATACATTTTAGGCTTTCAAAATATTTTTTCCTCTCTACACCTTAGATAAGAGCTTAAATAATTACAGAAACCCAATAAAAAAGTGTTTCATTGTAAACAGTTTAATAAATAGTTTGGTATACTTGTTTTTTTTTATTATTAGAAAAATAATTTTAAAAATAATGAAAATTTATGTCATTTTTATTTATTTATTCTTTATTAGATAGATGTTTATCTGTCAAAATCATTGGCAGATAATTTGTATCTTTTCCAATATCCTGTTAGACCCAGTAACATGACTTACAATGATGTTGAAGACATACAAGCTAGAGTGAAACCTAAGCAACAAAAAGTAAGTTTTGAAATAAATGCTATTAGATATTGATATTTAAGCTGCATTCGTGGCTGAAGTTTTATATTGGGTTTATATTTATAAAATCACTTTATATACCATATTTCCTCAATTAAATGCAGAAATCAAATAAATCCTAAGGAATAAAAAGTAAAAAGTTAACCTGGGTGAAAATGATGGAAAACATGTTGAAGTACTACACTATATAGTGCATGGTTTTTAATGAGGGTTCCATGACACCTTGGTTGAAAATCACCAGACCATTGTGACACACTGGAGTGCTACATTGACGCATATACCTCCATCTTCGGGTTATGCATAACTGGAAGATGGAGGCATAAGAACTCTGAAAACATTTTTTCTAGTGCTCATATTAAATGGTACTGTTGAAATTTGGGTATTATGACTAAGTTATTGTATATTTACATGTAATTAACATTATAAATTATTCTTATATGTTTGTACCATTTTTGTTGAAAATACTGCATACAGTTTAAACTAATTTATATGTACTATAAATATATGTACAAAGTGTATAAAGTAGGGGATGCAACAAGAAAAAATTATAAAGTAGGTGCTGCCACTATTAGAAAAAGATTGAAAAACACTGGTATAGGGTAATATAGTTTAGATTGATAGGTAAGGAGTTTGACTGAAATTTTTCTTCTTCAAATTCTAGAGTTAGATAGCACTTTCTACTCCGAGATTTGCAGAAATATTTTTTGAAATAAAATTATAAATATCAAGTTAATGTCAAGTTAATAAATTGAGAGCTTACCAGTCAAAGAGTAATTAGGAAAACTTGAACTGCAAGTTTGAACCAGTAGTCAAGATCTTGATTCCTATAATGACATTGAAGCAGATACGAAAAATTATTTCAAATATTGTAGCCCTAACCTCTAAATACAATCAATAAATGGTTTTGATAGAATGGAAAATATATGAATAAGGTATTACTTTCAGTCGTTACCTGCTCGTCTCCTGTTGTAAGGTAGTAATAAACCTCAGCACTTCAGATAAATCCTAGAATATATGTACATTTTAAAAATAAATCTTGGGGTTTACTTTTGAAATTATTATTAATTGAGGAAATATGGTAAATGAGTTTACTTTCATCTTGATAATTCAGATGTCTTCTTTTTTTATAAAAAGATGAAAGATTGGATGATAAGAAATGGTCACTTCAGCCAAAACTATAGAAAATAAAAGTTTATTGAACACTAAAATTCAAAAACTTGCAAATGTTTTTCATTGTAATCCATTCTTTATTTATTTTTCATATTTTATGATTTACAAATATCTTCTGTTAATTCATAATTTAAGTTATGTTTCATTTCAAATTATTTTTCTGCTCAAATAAGCTTGATCAATCGAGTGAAACGCTTGTTAAGTTTTTAAATTTTATAATTTTGATTAAGCGTAAACTTTTCTGCTTTTCGACATATCACACAAGAACTTTTCAAGCAAATGATGATAAATAAATTCAATTACAGAATATGCATTTTGGATGTTACACCTCTCATCAGTTCTCATTTACAAATATTAGTTTGAAAAAAAAAAGGCAAATTTATGCTTAAAATTAAAAATATAATGGAACAAGAAGAAACAACAATTTTTAATTTTTTGTTTTTGTTAAACTTTTGTTTTTTGCAACATCAACTTAAATGAGCATCTCTTATCATCTAATTGCAGCATCTGGTGCATGTCTGTCTATCATTTGTACAAGACAAAAGATCATTGAATTAAATTATAATCAATAGGGTGAGGTGTAATTTTTTTTAATTATTTATACAAACAGATAAAAAGAAAAGGTAAATATAAGTTATATATTATAAACTTGAAGAAATTTTGTGAAAAATCAGTTAAAAATTAAATACTTAAGATGAATAGTCCAGTAGTAGCTTGGAGTTTCAGAGTTGCTAGACTTTGCAGGGATTGACAAGAACATCGGCAAGTTTATATTCAAACTCTGGCACAATGTAACATTGGCATCAAATATTGAAGTTGAACGTTGCTAAACCAGAAGTGTGCATATGTGGTTTAATGTATAGCAGATTGGAAGGCAGCAAGGCATGGAAGGCATACGTATTGACATTCCTTAAGCTCTGCTATCATAACACCACACTGCTATTGGACTGTAAACTGACCCTTAAGTTGTGCATGAGTGTAACTTAAAAAAAGACAAAATTATTACAAGAATAGTTGAAGCTAGTCAGTAAAAAACTAAACAAACCTGTACAGTTCAAGCTTTTCAAGAATAGAAAATTTTAGGACACATTCTTACTTTCATCTACATCCTTGTTATGTAAATTATTTTATTAGAGGAATAAAGTAAAATTTATTCTACACTTAAATAAAAGTTAAAAATTGAAAAAGAATTTAATATTTTAATGAAATAGATCTTTTTTCATGTAATGTCTTTATTTATTTTATTGTTTTTTTTTTAGGTAGAACTAGAATTACCTTTGAATGTACAGAGTTCAAATTATGATAAAGGTAAAGGTGAACAAATTGCCCTCAATGTTGACGGACGCCACGGAGGAGAGAACAGTTATTTTAGCAGGTTTGTTACTATTCATCTTCAATTTGCATTCATTTTATAAACAGTTGCTCTCAATCTTCAACAAGATATTGGAATGATTTGATTTTTTTACCTGGATTTTTGAACTGTCTATTTGAAATTCAGATTTAAAATGCAGTTCAAAAGATCTTTTTGACATTTTAAATTTATTACTGGGACATTGTGCGACTTTGTCTTATCATGATAGAATTGAGGCATAGCTAGAAAGAAAGAAGTGATATAAAACAGCATGTGATGCTTGTTGTTGTTAAGCACGGAAAAGGTAATCCTCGTACCTGACTGTTGTGGACAGGCAAACTTTGCAGTTGCCACCACAAAAGAGGCTCTCTTATACATATATATGTGATTATGATATTTGACACCAGCGTCAAACTTAAATATGGCACATTTTGGATAAGACTTCCATTAATCTGTTACAAATACAGAAATTATAAAATCACTTTTTATTAATGTAATACATATATTTTGTAATATAATTTTTCATACTCTTGTGTGACATTTTTCTATGAATTTATTAGTTTGAGGAATGATCCTTGCACTTGCCGACAGAGATAGGCAATCCCAGAACAAAGCAATTGTCGTCAATTGCTTTGTTCTTTTGTTTTCTTTGTCTTTGGTGCGTGTTTTCTCTTAGGCACTCACAATTGCATCTGGGAACATGAACATCATTGCTTTGACTTCACCTTATATCAAAAATTAAGTCATGGACCTCTATTTTTTACATTTAAATAGACCTTGGTTACACTTTTGGATTCCTCACTGCAATTAATAAAAAAATGGCAAAGTTTCATCAAAATCATCAACCCATCAAATTTTGAAAATAAACCCAATTCTATAAGCCTGTAGAAGGCATGTTAATGACTTTGCGACATCACCCGACATAGCTTTGTTGCACATGCTTGTATCTTGAAAAAGAAATTGTGGATCCCCATTTTTACTTTTCAGGCTGTATTATATGTAACAGGGAAAGTATGGTGATTGGTTAAAAAATGACCCCCAAGATTTTTACATTTTTGGGCTCAGGACAACTTGAACATTGGGAAATGCAAAAGGAAAATTCAGGGGATTTTTCTGTATGTGTGTATGGCACTATTTTGTTCACACTCTTTGAAGCTTAATAACTCTTGTGCTTTTTGTTGAAAATTTCTGAAATTTTGCAGGGAGGTTTATTAGGGTGATTGATGTTATTAAATTTTGGTGATTAAAAGTCGAGGGGATGGGAATATCCAATAGGGTCAGACTTAATGACTATTTTACTTGTTATTAGCATTTACAATTTTTTATAAAACCCATCCTTACATTCAAAATTAAGCTTATTGCCATTTTATAATAGTTAAAAATATAAACAGTTTTTAATAAAATATGACAACAGATGATGTCACCAAATGTTGCCAGGAAAGTTGAGCAACTTGTCACTGGATTTTTTTGTAATGTTTTTACATTCCTCATTGTGATAAATGGAAAACAGCAAAGTTTAATCAAAATTGATTAATCAAATTTGAGATTGAATGTAATTTTGTAAGTCACAAAGAGAAGAGGCTTTGCTGACACTTTGCCTCATTTAGACTTGACGAGTACAGTAGAGCATCATTTATCCAAATCAATGGGGGACTGGGGTTGTTCAGATAACTTATTTTTCGGATAACTGATTACGTACGAAAAAATATATTAACCTATCCCATGTTGAAATTTTTCTCCGTTGCATGTCGCTTTGCGTTGAATTTTCGTCAACGTTAAACCTAATGTAAACTTTTTAAAATAATAATCGTAGCTATTGTATCATTAAAAATTATTTCTTTATTTTTTACAAACAAAATAAATATATTGAAAAATATAAAAACAAAAAAAAATCATACTTTAGAAGTTAATCTAGTATCAAAAACNTTATAGAAGAAAACCTTTCAAACAGCCTTAGTCCGTAAAGTTCCCACCTATCGGGCTGCGATTGGCTCTTGTATTTAATCATTCCTACAACGTAAAATTCGATTAGCGTGGAACGTATCTAAGCGTTATAGGGGGGTCTACTGTACTTCTAAATGCTCAGTAAAGTCTGGAAGACTTTGTGGTATAAGGCTCTGAAATGCAAAAATTGCATTCTGGTCCACTTGCCATCTAGCTCTATTGGTAGCTATCAAAATTAATTCTTGCATGTGCATAATCTGAAACACTGTTCCCATTTCGAATATTGCATGTTGCATTTTTCTGTTAGTGGTAATTTCTTTGTAAAAATACGTAGAAATCCCTTATGTCATTTTGACTCACCTTGTATTTTGTAAATGGCATAATATGCTGTTTTAAAGTTTTTCATACTTTATTTTAAATAAATAATTTGGTATAAGCCTATTAGTTATTTTTAAATTCTTAATTTTAATTATTGCATGAGCTTGTTTTTAATGTTGTGAATCTGTGTTGAAAGCAAGCTTTTTTTTTAATCTGCTGGTTTAAAAGGTTTATTTTCACTGTGGTGCTGTAATCAGTGTTTTAATTAACATTCAATTGTTGGAAACCGAGACTTTGTGTAATTAAAAAAATTTTAAATGTAAGCGATATTTTTGAGTATTTATTTCTAATTGAATTTTTTTGCATTTATAGCAAGTAATTTAATCTTTTGTGAAGGTTTAATTTTAGTTTTTGATGAGTAAAATTTATAAAATTTTAATCTATATTTCAAAATTTAATAATTATTCATCCCAGTTAAATTGTTTAAATTAAAATTTTAGTTTGAAGGTTTAATTTTGTGTCATTATGTGTAATTGTGTTATGTATTTATTCTACTATGTTAACACATTGTTAAAGAAATTTCTCAAGCATAAATTCTATTGAAAATGCTTTTCTTTATGCATAAAATTTTAGCATTTCTGGGTCTTAATTTTATGATGGATGGTGTAGTGTCTAAGTGTTTTTTTATTTATTTATTTTATTTAATTCTCTTTGCCCTGTAGACCACAGTGAAGTGGCTGGATGGTAAGGGATGGGACCCGACATATCTGGACGGACCACCCCTGAAAAATTCATGGGGTTTTTTGACCCATTTGGGTTCTACCCCAGGTCACCCAGATCAGTAGGCTGCTGCCTTAGCTTGGCTATCCAGCCATCACCCAAATGCACTTCAGTATCTAAGGAAGTTTCTGTTTCAACAAAAGTAGTTTGAATTGGATCCATATCCTGGTTTCTTCATTTTGATTTTGAATTCTTTTTCAGTGGCCTCAAGAAACTAATGCAGAATCACTGTTTGCCTTAACACAATTTGGAGATCATCTTGATAAGGTATGCTAATAAGATTATCCAAAAGTTGTAATGTATAAAGATTAAAATGTAGTTTTCTTATAGTTTCGTGGAGCTTTGGTGCAACTCTTTGCAAAGACTGCAAAAATTCGAATAACGACGCTACAAAAGAAGTTATTGGATGAAGTCGGAGAAACATTGTCGAATGCCGACTTTAAACAGATAATCCAGGTATGTTGAATTTAAATTGGCATAATTAATTTTAAATCAAATAAGATAATGAATCTATTCTGTGTTTCAGGAATATTGTGTCTGTAAATCTGGATATTATTATTTAAAGGGAACGATGCAAACGGATTCCTAGCCTCGGCAATTTTTTTTTCTTTATAATTTGTACATAAAATATAAATAGTGGATTATAATTATGAACTGTTAGAAATCTGTTGCTATGGAAACAAAATATTTTTGTTGACGAAACATTGTCTAAGTAAAATATAATTAATTTCCTTAAATTCCTACAAATATGAAATGAACACTGACTGCATTTTTATCAGAGTTTTCATTTTACTTAAAAAGGAAATTATCATCTGATTTTTATTCAAGTTTAAGGAAAAGTTTTGACGACCGAAAAACCGATCAAATCTGCTAAAAATTTTCCGAATTTTATGAAAATGAAGCAGTAAGTAAGGCATTTTTTATGGGAATTTTTATATGAATTTGATTTTTGAACTTGTATCAAGTTCATGTTACAGAAGTTGTATCAAAATAAAATCATATGATTCTATAAATACTGCCTCTTATCAATAAATGATTCTTTGAAATAATTTGAAATTCATTAAAGGAATTATTTTCATTGTTAAAACCATTAAACTTTAAAAAAAATGTTTTAATGTAAGAAAAATTAATTAATTTAAGTTTTTGTAAATATCTAACTTAAAACTAATATATAGAGTAGAGGTTTGCTATCATTAGCCTTTATAATAAAAGAATATTAATTATTTGAAATGTAAAGAGTAACTTCAGATGTGAATGAGAAAAGAATAATTTCAGTTTAATAACAACAATGTTGATTATCATATGAGGTAAGTTTTGATAAACTATTTTCATAAAATCAAAATATGTTAAAGAAATGCTTCAATAAACAAGTTAATCTCTGTTATATTTATATTACATTTGGAAAAAACATCACAGGAAAAATTACTACGATTTTTCCCTGAATGAAAATTTCCCTTTTTATTAATTCTTGAAATGAACAATGATCAATTTTTATGTACTCGAGTGTCAATGCTCGTAACGGTGAATCAAAACAATAAGTCAATTGTATTCTTTCTAGGTTTTTCTCACAATTTGGGGTATTTTCTAAGAGTAAATCTGATACATATTAAACCTGAAATAACAAAGCTTATTAATCTAATATTTCTGCATAATATAGAATATGACAAAACTGAATTCAATATTATGTTTGATTCCACCTTCAATTATATGGATGAATTTAATTTGCAAAATTCTACTTAAGCAAAAAATTAGATCAATATTTAACGTAGTAATTCTAATAAGAAAAATTACTACTAATGAATATTTCAAATTTAATGTTAAAAAGAAATAACAAAAAATCTCTGCACCAAATGTCCAGCATATAAAGTACAGAAATTTTCAATGCATATAAAATCAGTTAAACATACTGCAGAATGCATTTCCAAGGAATAATAATAAAAAGTTTGTNAAGATATAGCCAAAGATTGCAACGCCACATTACACTAGCGAAAACGTAAATTTGCGGATTGGAATTCTTTCGGATAACTGATGTTTTGGATAAACTATGCTCTACTGTAAGTTTAAAATAATTTAATGATAAATTAGTCTGTCAAAATAATTTAATTCTGAAAGTAAATGTAAGAATGCAATCTATTTTTGTTTCTTTATTTCATTTTTACTGCATGTAATAAAATTTGATACAGTAAAATTAATAAAATACTTTGCATAAATAAATGTTTACTTTAAATAAAAACAGAAAATATTTATACCTTCTTTTATTCAAGACAAGCTATTTCCAGTCATGGCATACAAGCTATCTCAAATCCTAGAAATTCAGAATTGCTGAATCCCTATGACTTTAGAAGAAAATCTGAAACATAAAATTGCAAATGTCTGTGATTTATATATTCCTTCAACAGAAGTCACAATTTTATGGATTCTGTAGATTACTTGCATTGCACAATGATGAGTGATTCCAACTTTGCAAAACTGCAGAAATATCTTTAATTTGGTGTTGCCATTTTTGTTTACAGCCCTTCATAGAGATAGTAGACAACAAGACATCTGAATGCTGATGAAACTTGGACAGTTACTCTAATGATTGGTGTGCGTTCCATACTTCTTGGATAATAATTAACATAATTACCTTGTACAATAATTTAAAATAGTAGCATTTATTTTTGAAGACTCAGTATATATAGTTTGCATTTTCTAATCAAACAGATTTATGAAGAATTGTTTTTAGTTTTGTTTTCAAGTACAGTTTGTAAATATGTACAAGCATTTTATTATTAATTGGAATGTTATTTATTAAGCAATGATTTTTATTAGCATTTTTTTCTCTCTTGATTTTCAGTTCTTTCATGGATAAGCAAAAATTAACTTCAAGTAAAGCAGTTTCATCATCAGCACAGTATGCAATAGGATTGTTACGGCCAGGTAATTAATTAAAAATAATTTTTTTTGAACTCTAAATTGAAATTCAAATTACAGTATACTTTAAATATGGCCAGCAAAAATACATTTTGGATTCACTCAAAATAGAAAATTTGCACTAGTTATGAAAGATAGGGCTTTAAATACCAGTCTACTACTTTGAGGATATGAGATCAAATTTAAGTGGTCAAAATTGTCATAATATTTCGTGAGTGGTCTGATCCAGACTGCAACTGTCTGGTTGCCTCCATTAAGAACCTGGTCAAACCCACAATGAAAGGACAAAAAGTGTCAAGAAAAAATTAAAGAATTATTTTTTTCTTTACGAATGTGAATATATATATAACACATTCGTATATATTCATATATATATTGTTTAAGTTTATCGTTGAAATGCAGGTATTAAGAATTGTAGCTCTGTACTTGATCCCTCACGGTTCCTTGCAAATGTCTACAAAAGTTAGGGATGATCTGTTAAGAATCTTTATAACTTTGTACTTATTCTTATGACTTGCAGATATTTATAACAGTTAGGATATATAAAAGTAAAATAAAATGGTTGGCAATATTTTTGTTTCCAAGTCTTTCTTAGTGATAAATGAAGAAGTACTTCTATATTTTAATATTTAATTTAGGATCTAATTAGAGTAATCCAGAAGCATGTGTTCAAAATATATTTGTGAATATGAATGTCTTAATCTGAACTGTTGTAAGAGAAAAATACCTAAACTGAGTTTGGAACAAAGCTTTTTTTATTATACAAAATTAGTGAAAAACATAATAGAATTAATTGTATTTTCTCTGTTTCATAATATGGTATAAAGAATTGTAAAGCTGGACATCCAAATGAGTGATTCCACTGTGCGATTTAAATTATTCTGGCACTGTACATGTGCAGTCTATGTAAATGAGCATCTAAATCACAGGTAATTGCATGATTTAGACACTCAATTTGAATATACTTTTTTGTTGCTCGAATCAGATGCAGCCAATCGGCAATGAGTGAATTTAATCAGATTGTTTGATGTCATTTCCTGCAAACTGGCTGGTAGATGAATGCAATGACCAAAACCAAATAATTCACAAATGAAGTGCAGTGGATATCCAGTTTTATACTGGAAATTTCTGTATTAGTTTCTGTTTAATCTTATATAACCTAAAGTAGATGTTACTCCATATCAAAAAAGCCATTTGGTTTTTATCTTGGATAAGCAATTTAGTTAGGCTTTCCTATTTTGATCCATCCACATTGGTTTTGTTGTTAGGCTGAGATCTCCACTAGTGTAAAAATGAGTGTAAACTCGCACTGTAATTATTTTTAATCGTGTAACCTATTTGTTATTGATTTGTGGCAGAGGTTCCAAGTTTTTACAGCAACAATATTGTTAACAGTAGACCAAGTGCCAAAAGTGTTTACTTTTCACACTTGGTGTAATATCAAAACTAATCAAAAAACTTCACGAGCACCAAAACGGTGAGAGCAAGATATAGAACACAGCAAATGTGCATAAAAGCTTGTGTGAGGCCGGGACCTTGGTTGACTGACGGAAGTATGGCTGTTGAACCAGGGTCAATAATTTGGTGATTTATCTTGTAAATGGTACTGGAGTTCCATGGCCAAGAACTGGTATGAGATGATTTAATTGTTGCATACCAGACCTAATTGACAGATCCTCGATCATACATTGTGAGAGAGAGAGAGAGAGAAGGATAGTTTGCGCAGGTTAACTTTTGATGGTCATCTTACAGAGAGTTCAAAGCTGAAATTGCTGACACTCCTGTGGGAGCTGGAACAGCTGCATCTTCTCTGAGACAGAAAAATACACATTAGAGTAAAATTTATGGGACTGTCACCCAGGGAAGGGCTTGGCCTGACTCCAGAGGGGAGCAGCCTAGATGGGGAGTGTTCGGTGATCCTGCAGCATGAATCGCATCCCTGGCAACAGACCAAGGACCAATGAAGTTTCAGAGGACCATTGTTCAGACCAACCACAACCTCAGGATTTCGGGTGAAAATGGGATAAAAGCCCAAGATCCAAAAGGCATGGGGAGGTTGGGAGAAAACAGTCTATGCGAATCAGCTAGGGATTGTTGGAGCGAAGGCTAACCATGCGAATCAAGTACTGAAGAGGAACCTTGCAGACCTCTCCATGCAAACAAGTGCGGCTAGTGATTTCACCTTCCAAAGGAAATTTGTGTACACTGTGGTCTTGTGCACCGTGGACCTTTCCATCATTTCTTCTCCTTCAAAAGAAATCCTCTTTGATCTACGAAGAAGGACTTTTTTTGGATAGGGTGATTTACGTGCCTACGTAGGAGGGACTCTCTATCATTTAGTGCAACATCTCTTAACTGGACAGCTCACTGTTTTTCTGTAAGCATAAGTTTACCCAAATAAAGTAAATTTTATCACTCCTGTCTCTGTGTCCTGCAATCACTACCCCATACGTCCAAAGACTTCTCATGTCATCCTGACGGGTCGCAGGAAAAGAGAAGGGCAATAGACCTTTCACTTTAGGGCAGACCCTAAGCGAGTGGTGTCAGGCCTGAAACCTTACGCTTGTTTTCTGCAATTTTTGCATAATGTCATGATGACGTAGAAGGCCACTGACTTCTGGTTGGTTGACATACAGTTTTAAGGTCATATCCAAGTTGAAAATTGAACACTGTTCAACTAGCTTTATGCTTGCTTTATGCCCTGCTCTGATGTAAAATATTGTGTTCACATGATTAAAAATAATTACAACTAGAGTTTCTACACTCATTTTTATGCTGTGGAGTTTCTACCTTAATAATTGTCTTGTTGAAATATCTAAATAGGTTTGGGATTTCATTTGCAAAAGACAAACTGCAAATTGTACATTGACAGTTCAAAAGGATAACCTTTTCAACTGTCCATATTCAAAAAAATTTGCATAAATATATACCATATTATGAGATGAAGTATTTTTTTATTACTTTAGTTAATTAATTGAAGTTTAGTGTTTACTATAGTTAACTGACTTTAGGCCATCCTGCATTCATTGCTATTTATTTATTTTAATATATTGCTATATTATTATTTGAAAAGGACGGTTTACTTTTTAAATTCAATATCAATGTTGGGATAATGAATAATTATACCAAAAAATAAATATTTAAAGTCTGTAGATTGAAATTATTATTAAAAATTAATATGTTTTTTTCTTATATTTGGCATAAATATCCATTAACATTAGTTCTAAATTCATTTCCAGGTAAAGAATTGCACTTAACTCCTCTTCATGCAATTATTCAATTACGACCAAGTTTTACTTATCTGGATCAATCTGACAGTCGAGCCAAAGCAGAGCTTAAAGAAAGTGACGTCGGTGAGTGTTTCATTCCAAATGTTTTATTGTTCGTGTTATTTTATTTAAAAAAAATTACTTCAGTAATATTTAAAACAATCATGAATTTTCTAGATGATCCTTCACAAGATGAAGAAGAAGAAGCTCATAAGGTAACGGTGAGATTTGCCGGTCCCGATAGCGATAAGGCCCGCCAAGCTAGAGAACGTTCTTATAATTACATACAACAACAACTAGCAAATGAACCCTGGGTTAACGTAAAATATCATAAATGTGGGGTATGATATCCTCATATATATTTGTATACATTTTTGTAATTTAAAAATATTTCAAATGATGATAATTATTTAGTCTCATGAATCTGAAGAAGAAATGAACAAACTTTTATGTACCAAAACTGATTTTGATGCATCTAATTTATTGACTACATCGGAAAATTATGTGAATGCCTTATTACCAGAAACACTAAGACTGTAAGTTTTGATTTTTTTTTTCTTTTGTAAGATCTTTAATAATTATATTTTATAGAAGCAATATTAAATTATTGATGCAATGTATTTGAGTGACCTGTCATCAAAACAATTCAGCTTGATTATTGCTCTGAAAAGGCTAACAAAAGTTAAGATACCAGTACAAGAATACATATCTGGTGTGATCAAAATCCCTAAAATCCGTAACTTAAAAGTCCCCTTCCAAATCAGCACACTTAGCCCAGCATCTTTCCACTTCTGGAGACATGTTTTGAAGTCTTCTTCTGTGATTCAGCTGCCATTTTAACTGGAATTTGATTTTAGGGAAGAAAATCAAAGTGCGTTAAGTCTGAGGTATAGGATGGTTACCATACCTTTCGAATGCTGTTTTAGCAAGAAACTGAATGCGTTGCACTGTACGGACAAGTGCATTGTGGTGGTGGAGTTGCCAGTCACTGTTCTTTGTAATCTAACCTCCTCAGACATTGCATTTCATAACTGCTGCAAAACTTTACAGTAATATTTGTTGTTGATTATTTGTTTTGTCATAGTATGTTCTTGCTGCATGATTCCCTTATGGTTGAAAAACTGTCAGTATTGTCTTCACATTGCAAGAACTGTGTCTTGCTCTTCTTGGGTCTGTGAGAGCTTGATGTTTTCTGCTATGAGGATTGGGTCTTAGTTTCAGGGTCATGTTGATAAACTCACAATTTGTCACTAGTTATGATAATTTTTAAAAAGTTCTTGTCATTTTTGGCACACTAAAGGAAGTCATGAGCAGTTGAAAGTAGGGCTGTAAAGTTGGTAGACCAAGCCCTCAACTCCAACTCCTGCCTCTAAATAATAGTTTAAAATATAGTTTGATTATATTAACCTAGAATAGAATTTCATCACTGCCAAGTTATTCATCAGACATTTCTATTGAAAATGAAAGAATTTAACGTTTTTCACAGAGTTTTCCATCATCAACTACACATTGACACACACTATTTTTTCTTATGTGAAAAATATTCAAAAACATTAGATTTAACCCAAGTCTTCTTAGCTATTTTCTATTGGTCTTTTTACAATAAAAATTAAGAATTAGGTAACACAGAATGTGTTCGAATATAAATTTCTGAAAAGAAAATTAAGAGTAATTAGCAATATGCAAAGAAGGATCATGAACTAGGAGAATTATCAAAAAATAAGATCTTAAATTACAGGAGACTCCTATAAAGCAAGTTAGGAGGTTAATGCTGCTATTAGGAGCATTAACCATTATGAAGTACATAATAAAAAAAAACTGGAGTCTGAATTGGTCCACTTTTGCTAATTCTTACTCCTCTAGCAATGAATTTACTTCCAACTCTGACTCTGGCCCTAGCTGAAACATGTTCCTATATCTGGTCAGCTAACTCAATTTTTAGCACAGATTTTGCTGAGACATGTCTAACTCCCAAGTCTTTGTAAGAATGGACTGCATTGAACTGGAAAGTCTCCCTGACCAACTGCACTTTTCTCTGGAATGGATGTCTTGTCAGGAGTCTCAAGTTCTGAAGGTCCCACAAATCGACAAGTCACTGGGACCAGACAATGTTAGGTGTCTGGTCCCAGTGACCTTATTCAAGTGGTGCTGGAGACCTGCAGTGAGTGGTTAGTTATCTACCAGACCCATCTTGAAACAAGAATCAATGAGTCATTGGTTCTTGTTTAGGCTCAGAAGTGTAATGAAAGTAAAGTGACCTGGGACACCAATGATCTGTCCCATCTACCATGTCAGTGAGAACGAGAGCATACATATTGGGACCAGAAAGATGGTGAACTAATGCCTATATAGGACAGTCCAGAGGAAATTCTGATGGAGATCATCAACAATTCTGACATAAAAATCAATCATCAAGTCTTGGTATGGGTGCAGAAGACTAATTGAACTGTCTAGCAACCTGTTCTCTCCAAAATTTCTCTCGGGATAGCTGGTATTCAGTAGGAGTCTCAGTCTCATCTAGTAAAGTAAATAATTAGAGGACTGAAATGACTCAACCTATTCTCAAATATTCAGTGGGTGAGGAGCCATAAGGGCTAGTAGCTGATGCTGGCTGACTTCTCATCTCCTCAGAGGAACTCTCAATGTTATATCTGTCCATCCCAGTGATAGAGGCATGGGTACTTGCATCTGTGGAGAGTGGTCAGGTAGGAGCATTTTTCCCCCAACTAGGTAGGTTTCCTGGTGATTTTCAAGCATAGCTGTTAGCTATCATTTGTTGTGTTTGCACTTTATGTACAGATCCTTAATTATTAAGACTATCTATATTGTGTCTGATAGTCAGATTGCCTTAAAGATCCCGTACTCTTGTTGGGTTACTTTGGCACTTGTTTGGAAGTGCTGTTTGCACCTCAGTGAACTGGCTACTCACAATCGGGTCTTTCTTTTGTGTCTGCTAGGACATGAGGACATTGCTAGCAGTGCAAAGGTCCTAGGTTGCTAGCATCCTATTTGGCCAGTAAAGCTTACCTTTACTGGCTAAATAGGATGCCTGATATCATTTTGTAGGGCCCAGATCAGCTTTGGGTATTTCTTATAATACTTTCTCTAGAACTGTTAAAGATTGGACTGCCTCCAATCATTCTAAGCAGTGGAAGTTAACTCCCAGTTTAAAGCAGAGTAAGACTTTTATTTTTTACCTTGCCTGCCTTTGGGCAAACTAACAAATTCCTATCTTTCAATAGGAATCTTGTTTGCTTTTTGGTCATTGTTGGGGTGGGTTTTGGTCTGTGCCAACTGAAACTTTCTTCGTCAGCCTCTTGTAGACTTGTTCATTTGGTTCCACTATGTTGAGTTCTGGTGAATTCTCTACTTTCTTTTGGAAGTCTACTGTCTTTTTTCAGAGAGATCATACTTCCTAAGTAATATCTTCTGGAGTGGACAATGGACAATTTTAGAACAAGGTATGTTTGGACTACTGGTTTACACTTGTACAATAAAAATAACTTATCTTATGATTCAGTGATTTCTCTGCACAGCTGTCAGACACATATTTGACATTTTATATCAATGATTACTGCTAATTGTACAGTTCACTCTCTGAGAATGTGTATTTAGGATCTGGTAAAATTCAACAGTGTAAAATTAATTGTTAATAGAGAAGTCATGGCATCTGATTGATTTTGAGTTTAAAAGAACTAACAACTTGTTTGAAAAATATTTGAGGTGTGTTTGGACATAATTTGGTAATAAAATAAACATGCCAACTTTAAGTTTCATTTTGACAGTTTTAAATGATAAAACCCATTTTGGGAGATTATTTTAGTGGTTAATGATGTTTTAAAGCAAATAGTGACAAAAATTCATTGTTGATATCCCAGGAAATTGCAGAAAGAACAAATGTCAACTATTCAACAGTTGGTATATTTGAAACTTATAGTGAAATGATGTTCTTATTAATCTAATAAAACAACTTAAGATGGTGTAAACAGATTTTTTTCATTTAATACTTGATTTGTTTCTTGTTCTTTCTATGTTTATTGAGAAAAACATACAAAATTGCTGTATTGAACTTATCACACAGGAACATATAGCAAAGAGAAGAGACTTTATTATTTAACACACATTATTTCTGTATTATTAATGTATCAATATTTTATGCAGAATTTATAATTATACAAATAAGGACTGAAAAGGGTACAAATAACTCAAAATGCATTTTTACCACTTTGTACAGAAGTAATGTGTCTTAAATAATAATGTCTATTCTATTCTCTTTGCCATGTGTGTTTCTGTATGATAAGTTTGACATAGGATACATTTATTCATGTATTGTCAGAATCATCATACCATATAAAATATGTTAGGCCAGAGGAGCCCAGTGACAAGCCAAGTTATGTGTAAGTCATACATAGACAGGCCACAAATATTGTATATTCTATATGTACAAAAAGTAAACCTATTTCTAACATGTAGTAAAAAAGTAAGCCTAATCTAACCCATGAACACATTTGACACATGTGTTCATGGGTCAGATTAATATGTGCCAAGGGCATTTACAATACTGGATCATATTTTATTTATTTATTTTTCTCAAAAGACACTGTGGCCAGGTTGGCCTTTTACAAGCATCTTAACAGGAAATCAAAACAAACAAACAAACAAAAACAGGACGTGAGCTGAGAAAATTAATTAACAACAAATATCGTTGAATCTTAAGTTTTTTTCCGTTTTTTTATATTTTTTCTGAAGATTTCATAACTCGATATATTACGTAAATCGTTGTACAGACTATTCCAATAGAAGATTAATTGAAAGATCGGTGCAGATCTCCCCACCTCCAGTTTAACAATTGGAAGACTATATTCATGAATTATACGAGTTTCTCGTGTTGATTTGCGACATTCACTTATACCAATTCCGAGGAAGCTGTTTTCTTTTTTTCCCTTTATATATTTGAAGCTCTCCAATAGCATCTGTTTCCTGTAAATATCACTAATCTTGTCAATATTTTCGGTGCAGTAGAGTTCGGATACTGATTCCATAAAGTTTAAATTATAAATTGAACGCATGTAACGATTTTGTGCTATCTGAAGTTTGTTAACAGCGTATAGAGATGCGGTTCCCCATACAGCGATACCGTATCTTATTCTAGATTCAATGCAAGTGTGGTACAGTCGTTTTGAGAGTGATGTGCTTAAAAAAGCCTGAATTTTCTTATTTATCCCAGTATACTTTGCCAGGGAAAGTGCAACATCATCTATATGTTTATTCCAGCGCAGATTATCATCAAAAGTTACTCCCAAAAACTTAATAGCATTTACTTTTTCTATGTTAAAATCAGTTATTTTAATATTTAGGTGATGCGGATTGATTATTTTATTCCTATTTGCAAAGCAGAGGAATTTAGTTTTATTTTTGTTAATTACTAATCCATTGTTTTCCATATAACTGTTTAAAATTTTTAAGATGTGATTCAAATTCTCCTGAAGAATTATAGCGTTTGTATGAGAATAAGTTATCACTAGATCATCAGCGTACATCAATATATTTTCTTTTAGTATAAAGTTAAACAAGTCATTAATATATATATTGAAAAGCAGTGGACCCAGGATTGAACCTTGAGGAACGCCCTTGTTTGGCCTGAAAGAGCTAGAGATAATCTGTCCAATTTTTACAAAGTAAATTCTATTTGACAAGTATGATTTTAACCAGCTTAGAGGAGTCCCTCTTAGACCAACAGTCTGCAATTTTTGATACAAGAGTTCGTGATTTAAGCTATCAAATGCTTTTGAAAGGTCCACAAAAACAGAAATTGCTATTTTAGATTTGTCGAGTTGTGACGTTATGGATTGTTTCAAATGCAACAAAGCATCTACCGTCGAAAATCCTCGTTTATATGCGTATTGGTTTCTGTGAATAACTTGGAATCTGTCTATAAAAGTTGAAAATCTCTTGTAAAAAATCTTCTCGAAAATTTTAGCCAACACTGACACTATTATTATGGGACGATAATTTTCAATTTCACTTTTTGATCCTTTATTTTTATATAATGGCAAAACTAAGTTTTGATTTAGTTTTTCTGGAAAGTAACCGTTTTCAAAAGATTTATTTATCAGATACGATAAAGGTTGAGCTAAAATATCGGATATGTGTTTTAAGATTTTAATATTTAAGAAACTGATGTCTGGAGTGCTGTTTTTCAAATTTTCTATAGTATTATAGACTTCTAAGGCCGTGGTATTTTCCAAAAAGAAAGTATTAGAAATACTAACATTTGTTATATGTTGCTTCGAGTTGATATTGCCGAAGACATCTGGAGCAAAGCCTTCCAATGACCTATTGTGCTTGGCAAAAATATCACTAAAAGTACGCTCATCATTTATCATTTTCCCTTTGTAAATCAAATGATCTATTTTAGCCTTATTCTTTGTCCTGGTTACCTGAAAGGGTAACGTCTTAATGCTTTTCCAGAAGTCAGAAGGAGAAGTCATAATCTTCAGATATAAATATTTAGAGACATGCAAACCAAACATGAAATATTTCCTTTTTTGCTTTTATTTCTCTTACTCTTCTCTTTCTTTATCCTTTTTTATCTTTCCAGGCTAAATATACTGGGTTGCTGTTGTCTTCTCTTTAGCATGTCTTGTTATAGTAGCATATCTTTATATTTTGAATTGCATAAAATTGGTACAATATAAATTACATTGCAGTCAAACCTCAAGTTTCAAACTTAATTTGTTCCTAAAAGTTATTTGCAAACCAAAACAAAATTTCCCATAAGAAACAATATAAAATGGCTTAATCTGTTCCCAATCCCCAAAACAAAGCCTTTTTATTTTATCTTTTCAGCTGTATTTCATGAATAAAAATGCTTACAAATGCAATATAATCTTCTTTAGATTCAACTGCAGTGCATAGGCTATCAAAAAACAGAAATAGTATCTTTCCTGCATGTTTATTGAAATCTAATTTAAATAGCAACATCATCGAGGTGATCTTGTGCCACTAACTTCTGAATCAGTAGTCCTGTCATTTACGGTCTGGCCTTTGACTTTCTTTAACATATGAAGTATAGGGAGTTGACCGCCTGTGGTCGGCTCTTGCCGAGTAGTTCATTCGGCAATGGGGGCAAATATGAGTTCAAAATTTTGTTTGTACCGAATTGTTCAAAAAACGAGGCATTCAAAACTCAAGGTTTGACTGTATATTAAATGAGTTTATATGTAGATCTAACAATTGTAATGGTCTTAAAATAAAAATTATTTATAATTATAATTTTATTTGAGATAGATTTAGTTCCTATAGAAAGAAAGTAATATTTTCTGTACACAAAATCTTTCCAAAATAAGCTTTTAATATACAGTGTTCTTTATTTTTCAAAGATTTTTGGCTATTCATGCAGCTATCACAATACAAACAGAATGCCCAGTTTAAAAAACAAATTAACCACATAAAATAAGAGCAATTTGTAATGGACATATAGTAATGGTTGGATAAATATATAAATTAAAATCACAAAATTTAATTTATTAGCACATTATTACATCTGAAAATTATTTATTGTATGCCCATTACAAATTATTCTTATTCCATGTGTTTAATTAAATTTTTAAATTAGATGTACTATTTATGTTCTATTCATTGTATCCTGAACACAACTGAAAACATTTGAAAAGTAACAAATACTGCTGGTAAAAGCTTGTTTTGGAGAGTTATCTATAAATCTTGTAAGCCAGTATTTGAATTGTAGAAATATTTTCTTTTGATAAAATGACAAAAATATTGACAAAATACAGTTTTTTCCAAGTCATTTAAAATGGTAGCAATATTATTATCTGAGGAGTATGCGATGTATACCAGTCAATAGAGTAAATGTCTAAGTTTTGTCTAAACATCTGCATACAAACATCTTTTTGTTTATTATCTGTAGGAAGCACTGTAAAGAAAAATGGTAAGATGTTTTGTGTTCTGCCATCACAAACTCGGAATCAGTCATCATTCTGCAAAAAGAATGTTTGTCTTATGTGATGGATCACTTCGAAATTATAATTGATAAATAATTTCAAAGTGATCCACTATTACCGATTTTGAATTTGTGAACTGCAGAATACAAATTGCCTTCTCAATTATGGAATTATCAGTTTTGTTTACAATGCTTCCTACAGGTAATAGACAAAAAAAGAAAATCCAAACAGTATAACTGGATTTCCAAATGCATCTGCTTGGTTGCAAAAAATGCAGATTTGAGCCCTGCAGCTTTCTAACTTATTTATTTAAAATTAAAGTCTAATTACTAATGTTACAGGATGGTGGCATAATTGATTACCTTTAGGTCATATTCTCTAGTTTAATCAATCTTTCACTTCATAAATAACTCTTCTAGCCTTATTATTTTATCAAATTAATTAGATGAAATCATAACATTGGATAAAAAATTTTATATTTATTACATTTAGAGCTCCGACGGTGATTACGGCCAACCAACTCTCGGCCATGTCAGATATCAAGAAGTCTCCTCTCGTGGATCAGATACGCACTCTTGTATTAAATGGTGAGTATCGACTTTTTATGTTAAATAGATTTATAGATTTTATTTTATAATGTGTGTCTTTATTGTAGAAATGAGTTTTCGGATTAATGTAGTGTATTTAAATGTGAGATCTCAAGAAGTTTACATTACTACTAAAAGAACCGTCTATCATATTCAATTTGCGACTTTCTGTTCTTTTTTGTGATTTTAATCAAGAACTGCATTTTTTTGAAATATTGTCCAGTTTCTTATGTTCTTAAGCTGTTTTCTTCTTAGTTGATCTGTTCTTCCTTCTCCTTGTCCCTTTCCCAAAAATCCTCATGGCATGTATCCAACAAGAGTTTATTGTCTTTTAATCTAATATAATTTTTCAAATAATTTATTTTTTATTTAAATTTTATTCATTTTCAGCAAAAGTAATACAATTTCACAGGCTGCTGGAATGCGTGACTCCGAATTCCGACGTGGCGGCCATTTTACGACTACTTCAGCAAGTCGCAATGCTGGTGCAAGGGTGTTGGGTCGTCAAGAGGTAAATTCTTACCTGAAACTTACTAAATGGCTTGTTTTTATATTTTAATTATTGTTCTTAACGATTAATCATCTGATTTTAGTGACGTAATCTATCCAAAAGATAGTATTAGTCCTTTAACTGGGGTTAATTCCGAACTGCTTTGTAGAGCCAGAGATTACATCGTGAGCATAAATTTTTATTATAAATTATGAAATTGTAAAAATAAATAAGATTAATATATATTATTTTAGATGTGGCGATATACTCAGGAAAATATCTTGAAAAGAAAAGAAATAATGTCTATTGTTAAGGTTTGTTTTATTTAAATTATTTTTTCAGTTTAGAATGATTTAAAAATTTAATACGAGGGGTAATTGAAAAGTCTTTGCTATCCTTTATTTTATCTTGAAAAATAATAGTTTCAAAATTTCAAAATATACATATGAGAGAACAATTCCTTCTGCATCATTTCGGCAGTTTGCAATTCTATCTGATGAGATGTGTGGAAATGTAGGAATTCAAAATCTGTCAGTTTCCACACACCAGGAACATGGAAGTGAGATTCAGTTTTTGTAAGCATCCAGCGAGAATACAAGAAAAATTTATTGAGAAATGAGTGTTTTGTACAGGGACAATTGCCTATAGAGAACTGGCGTGAATGTCATCTCGTGACAAGTCATTGCTTTTCTTTCTGTGCCATACTATTTGTGGAGGTGTATTAAGTTTGGCTTGTGTCTGAATGTTTATCACATGTAGAAGATGGCAAAATGTGCATTTTTACCAGGTTATTTAACAACTCTTATTGCTCAAGATGCCGACTGGTACAAAAGTAAATTGTAATGTGTGATGACTTGATCTGTACGTTGATGACTCAGTCATTTGTAGAAGATTATAGTTCAAGACTGAAGAAATAATATGGTGACACCTTGTCTTATAACCCAATTTTTAACTCAACTATATGAATGCATACAAATCACTTGATCCAAATATTTTGGTAAAGAGTTCTTCAGAACATACTTTCGTAGCAAGAGAACTTTAAGCACATTAAAACAAACTATAGCACTAGGTTGTTGCATCATTGTACCGACTAAAAATGTATGTTTTATGACAGTTTTATTGACCATTGCACAACATTACTCCTAAGTGATGCATGGTAATTTTTTTTTTGCTATAATTGTCAGATTTGTTTTGTTTTAAAATTTTCTTACACCATATCTCTTCTTTATGTGAACCACCAAAGTTTATGCCTTTCCCATTAAAATTTGGTTATTCTGTCTGTATCAGGTGACATTATAATGGAACAGAAATGTTACAAATATGGCACTGGGAAAAAATGCATACGTGCAGTCACATATATCCAGGACTTCAATGTCACAAGCACATTGTCTATTGTTGCAAGGTGTGAGTTGGTAGTGAGATGGTCAGAAATGAAATAATAAGCATCTAGGATGTAGGATGCCCAGATAGAGCCATTTACAATCCCCTGCCATACAGTCTGAATCTTACATCTTGTGATTAACATCATTTTTACCTCCTCAAGAAGGAATTAGCAGATTGCAATTTTGAAAGTGGTGATAATGTAAAGACAGCAGTTTGACTGTTGCTGCAAAAGCAACTGCACATGTTTTATGACAATACTGTCTGAAAACTTGTGCCACAATGGGAGAAATGTTTTTGCCATCTTAGGAACTATGTAAAAAATTAGGATATGAAAAAATAAGGCACTAGACTTTCAAATATATATTTTGAAATTCTGAAATAACAGATTTTGAGTAAATATAGTTGCAAAGAGTTTTCAATTTCCCCTCATACTTTGTTGTTTGTGTAATTTACTTAATTTAAATAGCATGTTTGATTAGAAAAGCAAATAAAAGAATGATTTTAAGAACATGAAAATATATAGCATGCACCCTGTTCCATATCATTGGCCGGACTGCTCTGTGATGATGGCCATTAGCTGAAAATTGGGTCTAAAGATAATGGAAAGTGTTAAGATGTTGGCTTACCACTGTGGAGATCAACATTCAAATCCAGCTTAGTTTATTGGGCTTGTCTGTATTTATTAAAATTACATAAAATTATGTTATGTAAAATACTGATAGCCTCAATGCTTCTGTGAATTGTTTCTTTCAGTCTGCATATAGTTCTGGGCTTGGTCTTGTATATTTTGCCTTTTAAATGTCTCCTATAAAATTTACATCATTAATGTTTCATCATCTCAGTCAGTGAGATACCCTGTATGAAACTACATTGGTCTGATTGACTCACTCACAGACAAGAAATATTTGAGTAGAAGTGGATTTCTGTAAGAAATCCGTTTTCTACTCAAGTGTTCAATAAGTTAGTAGAAAAATCCAAAATCTCAAAGAAATTATATATTTTAAGTTCTGCGAGATGTCTGTCTGATTGTTGATATCTTACAGAACACCACATTGTCTGAGCAGTCAACTGAAGTACTTTGTCTATTTTTAAGAAAGGGAATTATAAAAAATATGTACTTTAATTTATTGCTGTAAACATAAAAATTGTTATAGTGATATTTCAATATAACCATATTGAGAACTATTTGTATTTTGTCATTTCTTTTTAGTTACCTCTAGAAGATATTACAGAAATGTTACGTCATGTAGCGCATTGGAAAGCATCTTTAGGATGGCAGTTTGCCTATTCCTTTGACGAAAGTTTTGTGTCCAAGTAAGTTCTATTCTGTATGCAGAACACTTTTACCATACTGTCACACAGAAGAGCAAGCTCTTGTATGTAAAAACACTTGTTTTTGTATTTTTGAAACATTCATCCTGCTTTGTGTGTAAGAAAGAGCCCTGGGATTTAAAGGTACTTTGCAAAATATAGTGTTGATGTAGAGCATATATAAGAGCATGATCTTATTGCATGGAAATAAGTAAGTTTTCATCTATACTTGTTTGTTCTATGAAAATATATTCAAAAATGTTATAAGGTAAACCATAAGAAATGCATGACATGCAAGATTTAATCAGTTCTCATGTTCCTAATTGTGGAAAGGTTTCAAATTATTTAGAGATAACAAAAAATATCAGCATTATACTTTTTATATAGTGGTAAGGAATGGTGAATTTATCAAAATTTCAGTTTCAATTATATATTGTGAATTGATTTTGTGGCCAAAGTATAGTTATCTTTGCATTTGACTGAGCATATGACAACCATCGTCTTCATAGTACACTTGTCACTTCACATATGCTTTGTCAAATATAAATATGGGTACCTCATTTATAAAAATGTTTGGTGATTAGAATGAAATGCATGGAACATGTTTTTGAAAATGCATACAGTGTATTTTTGAAAGTTAATTTCTAGATTTTAAATTTCTCAAACATCCTTTGTATTATATGTGATATTAAATCTGGCTTTTAGCCTTGTTTTTTAGGTACTGTTGGGTTAAAAAAATTATAAATGTATAAAAGCAAATAAGTAATTGTAATTGTGCATTATTCAATTATTTGCTTTTACCAAAGTCTTCTGGAATTCAATTCAGATGAGCATGCCTGAGGAATTTTGCATGGGTTATCAGTTCCGGATACATTTGGCCTCTTCCCTCGATGTTTTGTTATGTCCATTGCAAGCTGGTTTTTCCCAACTTGTGATGAATATGAAGGGGAAAAGGCCATCTTAGTGTCCATGGGGCAGGAAGAGCCCGAAATTAAAACAAAAAATAAAAATAATGATTGTGTGTTTATTTTTGTAGTTTTAACAATAAATAATTGCGCATATTTACATTTGCAGGTATCCAGAAATAGTGCAAAGGCAACAGATGTTGTGGGATGCACGATATCAACAACTGACAAAGATACTACAGTTAGGAGCCAAAGATGTCAAAGGTAAATGTGTTCTTAGTTATAATTATTTTATGGAAACTACAGTTATTATCTGGTATTTTTGTATATGTACATATCTACATTATATTTAACCTAATGAAAAATTTCAGGAACTAAATTGCCAAATTTGAAAGCAGAAAGGCAAAGGAAAACTAAAGTACAGACAACTTTAAGTAGTGTGACTGAGAACTGCATAGTTGAAAATTCTTGTGTAAAGATGGACGTGGATGTGCCATCAAATGTTAGAATGTCGCCAACTGCCAATAGAAAGGAATCTGTTAACGAAAACTTGTTAGAGTCGACAACAAACAAAAACAGTTTGATAACTAATGGACCACATCATCACGTCTCTCATCCAAACGAGCACCAGTCTAGTTTATTAAATACTGAATTAATGAGTGCTGTTCACGGAAAACTCAGGGAAAAATATTGTTTAACCTTGACTGATCTTCGCAATACGAAACTGGAAGCTTCCAGCAATAATATTACTAACATACCTGACAAAGTTTTAGAAGATTGTATTATAGCAGTAGGAGGACAAAGACTTCATAATAAGGTAGATTCTAGTTAATGAAAACTTTCTATTTAATTTGTTCCTATGCACTAATTAAATTGTCAAATTGTTTTAAATAGTTAAAACTTTCAATACTTGCTCTTAATTTGGTAAAAATAAACTTTTTCAAGTGTTAAGTCTTTAAGATCTTCTGTTCTTGGATTTCTTAAGTCACTTAAGTATTTTACTAACATAATTAAAAGTTGCAACCCATACACATTCAGATCTTAAAGTAAATGTTAATTGGTTATTTCTGACCAAATCTTAGGCCCCACTGCACATGAATGACAAAATTATTACTGTGAATGTCAGGCAATTGGTTTGACCTGCCGTCTTCTATGACCTTGACATTTGACAGAGATGTTGGGTTTTGCTGTATATCAGTTTTCATTGTTTACTAATTTTGCTGTCTCTCTAAGTGTTTATTCTTGATCACGGATTGTGATTATAGGTATATTTGAAATTACATTCATATGTTCAACATGGTGATTCAATTTCAGTGAATTGTACATAGATAAAAATGCTAACGTAGAATTGCTTTGTCTGGAATATTTAAGACTTGAAAGAAAAAAACAACATAACCATTGTCATCCCTTTATTTTTTGGTATTATCACAATTTTCACTGTTCAACCAGACAATTTTATAATTGTCCTTTGGAAGTAAGCTGTATCATCAGGTAAATATAAGATCTAATCTTAGCCAAATATTTCAGGTGTTATATGTATTTAAATACAGCCAAAAAAGACATAGCATTAATCACTGAAATAATGCAGAACTGTCTACTATCTAACACACACAGAATACAGGGTGTCAAAATGAAGTGTGCGATTATAAACATTTATTGAACTAAAACTATTGGATGTAACAATGTATTATTTGAAATAATTTACTAACAAACATTTGTTTGCACTTCATTTATGAAAGTTCAATGTGCACATCATGGCACTTGTTAAAGAATACACGATTTCTTGCCATACACAAACCAACATCCCTTCCTATTTCAGGCGTAGGTTGGAATTTTACTATTACTTAGGATCCTTCTACTATAAATTGCATTCATTTCTATACAGTCGACCCCCCTATAACGTACGTTCCTATAACGGAAATTCCTATAACGTAGCGAAAAAATTGTAGCAACTTTCGTATAACGTACCTCCTATAACGTCGTTTCGCGACAAGATTGATAGAGTCTGGACCAATAGTGGATGAGCAGCCGAACTACTTTCCTCCGACCCTGCGCCACGCTACGGAGCGGCTAAATTGAGTTTGCTATCGTCTGTTTAGTATTATATATAAATTATATATAAATTAGGTACTGTACATATAATTATATATTAATTATATATAAATTAGGTACTGTATATATAATTATATATTAACTTAATTTATTGTAACTTTATTATAATTATATATATGCTTTCTGCCGCCTGGCAACACGCTACGGAGATTTTAGGCTAGTAAGTTGAGTTTATTATCGTCTGCACAGTATGTAAATTAGGTACCGTAAGTCTAATACAGCACTAATTTTATACATTTCTTGTGAAAGAAACACTTCTTATTCAACGGCCATAAAAATTATTTATATTAATGATGTCTCCAAAGGTCAAGTTATTTTTCTGCGAAAAATTCGTTATCAGAAATCGCGGCCGCCGTTTCGTGTGCTGTTCCGCGACGAAGACAAGCTTTGAACAACGGGCGTAGTCGAACGGTACACACTCGGTAAGTAATCCTATAATTTTTTGTTTATAGCATAGTTTATACAGATTATTCCCAAAAAATTATACGTATTTTGGAAATGTTGAGTGGAATTAGTCTAGAATCGGTTAATTTTATAGAAGAAAACCTTTCAAACAGCCTTAGTCCGTAAAGTTCCCACCTATCGGGCTGCGATTGGCTCATGTATTTAATCATTCCTACAACGTAAAATTCGATTAGCGTGGAACGTATCTAAGCGTTATAGGGGGGTCTACTGTACTTCTAAATGCTCAGTAAAGTCTGGAAGACTTTGTGGTATAAGGCTCTGAAATGCAAAAATTGCATTCTGGTCCACTTGCCATCTAGCTCTATTGGTAGCTATCAAAATTAATTCTTGCATGTGCATAATCTGAAACACTGTTCCCATTTCGAATATTGCATGTTGCATTTTTCTGTTAGTGGTAATTTCTTTGTAAAAATACGTAGAAATCCCTTATGTCATTTTGACTCACCTTGTATTTTGTAAATGGCATAATATGCTGTTTTAAAGTTTTTCATACTTTATTTTAAATAAATAATTTGGTATAAGCCTATTAGTTATTTTTAAATTCTTAATTTTAATTATTGCATGAGCTTGTTTTTAATGTTGTGAATCTGTGTTGAAAGCAAGCTTTTTTTTTAATCTGCTGGTTTAAAAGGTTTATTTTCACTGTGGTGCTGTAATCAGTGTTTTAATTAACATTCAATTGTTGGAAACCGAGACTTTGTGTAATTAAAAAAATTTTAAATGTAAGCGATATTTTTGAGTATTTATTTCTAATTGAATTTTTTTGCATTTATAGCAAGTAATTTAATCTTTTGTGAAGGTTTAATTTTAGTTTTTGATGAGTAAAATTTATAAAATTTTAATCTATATTTCAAAATTTAATAATTATTCATCCCAGTTAAATTGTTTAAATTAAAATTTTAGTTTGAAGGTTTAATTTTGTGTCATTATGTGTAATTGTGTTATGTATTTATTCTACTATGTTAACACATTGTTAAAGAAATTTCTCAAGCATAAATTCTATTGAAAATGCTTTTCTTTATGCATAAAATTTTAGCATTTCTGGGTCTTAATTTTATGATGGATGGTGTAGTGTCTAAGTGTTTTTTTATTTATTTATTTTATTTAATTCTCTTTGCCCTGTAGACCACAGTGAAGTGGCTGGATGGTAAGGGATGGGACCCGACATATCTGGACGGACCACCCCTGAAAAATTCATGGGGTTTTTTGACCCATTTGGGTTCTACCCCAGGTCACCCAGATCAGTAGGCTGCTGCCTTAGCTTGGCTATCCAGCCATCACCCAAATGCACTTCAGTATCTAAGGAAGTTTCTGTTTCAACAAAAGTAGTTTGAATTGGATCCATATCCTGGTTTCTTCATTTTGATTTTGAATTCTTTTTCAGTGGCCTCAAGAAACTAATGCAGAATCACTGTTTGCCTTAACACAATTTGGAGATCATCTTGATAAGGTATGCTAATAAGATTATCCAAAAGTTGTAATGTATAAAGATTAAAATGTAGTTTTCTTATAGTTTCGTGGAGCTTTGGTGCAACTCTTTGCAAAGACTGCAAAAATTCGAATAACGACGCTACAAAAGAAGTTATTGGATGAAGTCGGAGAAACATTGTCGAATGCCGACTTTAAACAGATAATCCAGGTATGTTGAATTTAAATTGGCATAATTAATTTTAAATCAAATAAGATAATGAATCTATTCTGTGTTTCAGGAATATTGTGTCTGTAAATCTGGATATTATTATTTAAAGGGAACGATGCAAACGGATTCCTAGCCTCGGCAATTTTTTTTTCTTTATAATTTGTACATAAAATATAAATAGTGGATTATAATTATGAACTGTTAGAAATCTGTTGCTATGGAAACAAAATATTTTTGTTGACGAAACATTGTCTAAGTAAAATATAATTAATTTCCTTAAATTCCTACAAATATGAAATGAACACTGACTGCATTTTTATCAGAGTTTTCATTTTACTTAAAAAGGAAATTATCATCTGATTTTTATTCAAGTTTAAGGAAAAGTTTTGACGACCGAAAAACCGATCAAATCTGCTAAAAATTTTCCGAATTTTATGAAAATGAAGCAGTAAGTAAGGCATTTTTTATGGGAATTTTTATATGAATTTGATTTTTGAACTTGTATCAAGTTCATGTTACAGAAGTTGTATCAAAATAAAATCATATGATTCTATAAATACTGCCTCTTATCAATAAATGATTCTTTGAAATAATTTGAAATTCATTAAAGGAATTATTTTCATTGTTAAAACCATTAAACTTTAAAAAAAATGTTTTAATGTAAGAAAAATTAATTAATTTAAGTTTTTGTAAATATCTAACTTAAAACTAATATATAGAGTAGAGGTTTGCTATCATTAGCCTTTATAATAAAAGAATATTAATTATTTGAAATGTAAAGAGTAACTTCAGATGTGAATGAGAAAAGAATAATTTCAGTTTAATAACAACAATGTTGATTATCATATGAGGTAAGTTTTGATAAACTATTTTCATAAAATCAAAATATGTTAAAGAAATGCTTCAATAAACAAGTTAATCTCTGTTATATTTATATTACATTTGGAAAAAACATCACAGGAAAAATTACTACGATTTTTCCCTGAATGAAAATTTCCCTTTTTATTAATTCTTGAAATGAACAATGATCAATTTTTATGTACTCGAGTGTCAATGCTCGTAACGGTGAATCAAAACAATAAGTCAATTGTATTCTTTCTAGGTTTTTCTCACAATTTGGGGTATTTTCTAAGAGTAAATCTGATACATATTAAACCTGAAATAACAAAGCTTATTAATCTAATATTTCTGCATAATATAGAATATGACAAAACTGAATTCAATATTATGTTTGATTCCACCTTCAATTATATGGATGAATTTAATTTGCAAAATTCTACTTAAGCAAAAAATTAGATCAATATTTAACGTAGTAATTCTAATAAGAAAAATTACTACTAATGAATATTTCAAATTTAATGTTAAAAAGAAATAACAAAAAATCTCTGCACCAAATGTCCAGCATATAAAGTACAGAAATTTTCAATGCATATAAAATCAGTTAAACATACTGCAGAATGCATTTCCAAGGAATAATAATAAAAAGTTTGTAAAATTCTACTTAAGCAAAAAATTAGATCAATATTTAACGTAGTAATTCTAATAAGAAAAATTACTACTAATGAATATTTCAAATTTAATGTTAAAAAGAAATAACAAAAAATCTCTGCACCAAATGTCCAGCATATAAAGTACAGAAATTTTCAATGCATATAAAATCAGTTAAACATACTGCAGAATGCATTTCCAAGGAATAATAATAAAAAGTTTGTAACAACAAATTTAATTAAAGTTTTGAATCACCTAGATTACCAGGGCAAGCTAAAATTGCTTTTCTTTGATCCATTGCTTTACCTAGTTTCCTTCTTGGCCCAAGAGGAAGTCCCAAACTCTTTAAATCATCTTCGCTTAAAAGCATGAGTGAATCTAAATCAATTCTTTCCTTAGTGAATAGAGGAATATATTCTGTAAGTCCATGAGCAGCCAGGAAAATAATAATAGGTGATGTATCTAGATCTTCTTCTTCATCTAACCTCAAATCATCTTCCCAAGGCATCTGACAGTTTCTTTGAGCTAAACTGCCAGCACTTCCTATGCTGTCATCAGTCCTAATGTCAGAACCTTTTTCTGACGTTCTGCCGGAATCGTCGCCGTCTACTCCCTGATTTGGATTTGGTAGAGAAAGTAGAGTAGTACGAAATGCCACACTACCAAAACCCGGTCTTTCAAATATGCTTGCTGGTTCGGCCAAAGCAACATCGTCACCAATACCAGAATCTGTTGCATGTATAAAGTCTGGTTCACTGTTAGCGCGGGGAATTTTTTCATTTGTGAAAACATCTTTCATGTGCCGTCTTTGTCCTGCCGGACTGTCGTATTTTGGAACATACATCACTTCGGAATCCCTACGCAATCCAGATAAAGAACGAACCGATCTTTTACCTTCTTCATCTGTATTCTCTCTGACTTTAAAATCTCCTCCTGTTGATGCAGATTGTTTTTTGTGTTGAACACGTTTAGAAACTGCTCCAAGCCCTTTCCTAGTTACAGAACTGTTTGTATTAACAATTTCAGAATATTTAGTTGGTGAGAAGTGGAGTTTAGAATCCCTTTTCAATCCAACTAGAATATTTTTTGTTGGAAGTTGATCATTTTCATTTAAAGACATTTTTTTTCTTTGCTTTTCAAGATGTTTTTCCTCTTTTTCTGCTCTTCTTGCAGCTTTTGTTTGTAACTTTGAATAATTTTTTACCCTTTTTTCTGCATCTTTGATTGCCTTTTCTTTTAATTTTTGAACTAATTTCTTATTGAGAGCACTTTGTTTAGAAATCACTTCATCTAAATACCTGAGGATTTCATCTCTCTGATGCATTGCAGCTACATCTTTGCAAGTATGATAATCATTGTCCAAAGACCAAAGATTGACACCAAAATTGACTAGAAAAGACACACAGTTGATATGCCCATTGGCAGCTGCACAGTGTAATGCGGTGTTTCCATAATGATCACATTTGTCCGGATCGCCCCTGAAATATAATTAAAATTAATATTTTATTAATTGTTATCATATTAATTAATCCACTAACCTTATTACATTCCTACCTCAATCATCATTAATCATAGCATGAAAATATACATTTGTTATACTAGTTGATCTACTTCAACCTAGATTAAAGTCAAAGATTGATTTAACAATACAAATTTATTACTAATTAGAGGTACCATCATCTATTGTCATTAATGACCTAGTAACATTGTCATTCAAATTAATGTAGGTTATTTATTGAGTGTCTAATTTTTGAATAAACAAACTTAAGTTCTTCAAGGACAAACATTTGCTGTATTTAATAATTTATAACTTAATCATTAAATTTCACTCAGTGGGAAGAATATTTAGACTTATGATACTGAATTAAACTATGTTTTAAATAATAGTTATACAAAAAGCATTACTAAAATATAAAAACTAATAGTTATAATTTTAAGTGCATAAATATTTGATTTACCATAAAAAATCTTCCTGGAAGCAGCTGAAAATATGACAACGATGTTATAAGTTTTTTTAAAAGTAGAAAAATGATTTTTACATCTTGTTTCACTTAAATAAATACAGAAATATTCCAGTTTTATAAATGACAATTACTTTAATTTGCTTTTTAGTTAAGTCCAATGACTTCTGTTATCTCCAATAATCATTCAGTTGTGACCATCTATTTATCCTCTTAAATACCGAAACAATGTCAGGGGGAAAAATAAAGATTGGATTACTGAAATTATTATAAAATTGGGTGTAGGTATGAAGAGGCCTTGATTTTTCAAGCTTGGTAGATTACAGAATAATTTCTTCACGCTGAAGGTCAATATGTCACATTATTCCTTGGGAACCATCACGAATCTTCAATAACAGCCTTCATTTTTAGCATTAGGAGTTTGATAATTATAATAAATAACTAAAAGTGCAATAAAACTTTCCCAGATGTAACAAATGTGAAGTCAGAGAGCTTGACATAAAATCATTTTTGCTTATTTTTATAGCCGAGAATCTATACAAATATAATTATAGGAAACGTAGAATAATATTTTAAACAATAAACTGTATGAATGGACGATCAATTAAAAAAAAAAACTTCCCATATATAGATCTAGATTTGTTAGAAGAACGATGAAAAATTAGTAACGTGATTATTTTCAGTAGTGTATTGCACGAAACTTTCAGGAGTCAAAGGTTGAGAAGATCGCGTGTTAAAATATTCATTGTTTGAAACCGTCGAAGCGTCGATAATCACAACCACATCGACTGATAAAGTAATGGATGGGTGAACATGTGATAGTGTCTTCCACATCAATAATATACCGAAGTATTTATAAAAATAGAAATTTGAATACTATAGAGAATTCATATTTTCACACGAGAATATCTGCATTCGAAAATCAAATTAAAAATTCATAGTAGAAGATTGTTATAGAGTATAAGAAATTAGTTCGACTTTGAGAATACTTAGTAGCAAAAGTTGAATTACTAATTATTACCTTAACCATATTAAAAAATAATAATAAATTGTCATTTTTTTCGTACTTTTTGTGGATCTGGATTATTTATGCAGTAATTACTTCTAATGAATGCAACAGAACTAGCCTTTTCTTTCTTTTTGTCTCTTGAATCGCTACAAATTAAACTGAGGAATCGACAGACATACATAATGTTAATTTATAGAAAAAACTTCGCTAGTAAGGCATGTTTATAAAAAAACCTGTATAAGAATTTTAAGAATTGTTCCTTTATTCAACAGCATAAATAGCGCCAATATAAATTATATACAAATAATAATAGGTTAATCTGTCAAACGGAATGACTGTCCCGATAAGATAAAGAAATATAATTGATTCATTATTTTTTTTTTCTTTTTTTTGCACGCAAGCTCATCAAAATCAAATTCGAAATTCTTTATCAAGAGAGAACTTTGTTTTAATAAACCACGAGAGGAAATTTCGTATAAACTGGTAGAGAGTGAAGAGTGAAGCAAAGTGCAAATATGTCCTACTTTCCTTTATCTCTAGGACACACGAAACAGAGCGAAGATTGGGGGAAAAGCGGACGTAACTTTTTGGACATTTACTAACCCACCCAACTTCTTTTACGCTTAAACCGACCTTTCTTAGGTCGTGCGATGACTGTCGTCGACCTAGATAGAAAATAACGTACGTATCGCCTTGGCAAGTTAATTTTCCCGCCAGTAACGTGAAAAGTTTTGAAACTCTTCCAAACAATAAACAGGCCAAAACCTGTCCCGTTTCTGCACAAAAGGTCTCGTTTGTGTAGTTCATTTCATAAGATAGAAATTTAGGTCAAAATATATTTAACAGCAGAAGTAAAAACATTCGTCGTATAGTTAATATTTAAAAGGTTTGGGAATAATTTAACTTTTATACCGAGGTGAGCGTAGAAATTATAATCCATGCTGTTTTATCGAGATTTATTTTATTAAAAGTTTAATCTTCAATAAAGATTAAGAATTTAGTGTCGATGATGGTTAATCCTTTAATAAAATACAGTATACGCGTTAGAATAATTGAAACCTTTTGCTAGACTTTGACTTAATAGGAGAATGAAATATAAAAAAAAAAAAAAACTTTGTGCTACATAATCATTGTAAAAATTGGCGAGCTTAAAAACGATACTACAAAATAGCAAAGTTCATCCCATACTTTCCTTCTACAACGTTTTATTCGATCCTTTTAGGGGGGAAAACGTATCCAGTAATTCTTTTAATGATAAACAATGTATAAAAGCGCTTGGAACTTTGAAACTCGGACGTGTCTTCTGTGCGAAGGCAGTGGTCCATAAAGAGTGATTTACGACGTTATCGCACGAAAAATCAAAATAGATTTTCAGATGTACGAAAAAGATTACTGTCATTGAAAGAACACAATTGACAATCGAAATTTGTCTGTCATAATTGAGACTAATAGAGACGACTCGGTTAAGTCAATTAGAACACTAATCGTTTATTTTCCAGCGTTCACTGCTGACGACAAAAACTGTCACTCGATAATCCATAATGCTTTCGTTACGAATTCGACAAAATTTGGTTAATGGTGCATTTAATATAAATAAATTTTTTTCCTTGGGTGAATGTTTTCTTGTTTCTGTAACTTAGGATAAGTTCGTCCAAGATTTTAGTCCAATGACGACATAATTTGCAGATGAATTTTTTTTAGTTTTATTATTAGAGTCTATTTTTATATGGATATTACAGTCAAAGCTCTGAACAACTGTTACTGAAAGGATCAAAATGGCCGTTGTTCGGAGGTTAGACTACTGTATATTATAATTTTAATAATATTTGTATATTAACCTAATATACGCTAACTTTTTTCATTGTACTGTACATTAATCTTATATATTAATTTAAGAAACTAAGTACGAAGATATTTTCGTGTGAAATTTTTAGACAAGAAATCTTAATTACTTTCGAATTAAAATAATGATTATGAATTAAATATATACTCAAAATTATTTTCTTTAAACTTATGTGAATATATTAATAAGTTTGCTATATAATAATTAAATATTTAGTGAATTTAGACTCGGGTATAAAACGTTTAACATTTAAGATTAAATTCATTTTACACTATTACTTAATATTACTGAATTACACGATTTAAAAATTATTTTAATTTTAATTAATTTAGCCTAATTAAAATCCCATTTTCTGAACGTTTCAGTTTTAATTCTTTTAATATCGCTTTCAATTTTCCTGTAAATAATTATGAAATATAATTACCAATCTTTTGAAGTAATTCACAAATTAAATATTCATTTAGATTTAAACGTCATATATAAAATGTTTTATAATTTATTATTTATATTTAAAATATTTTGTCACAAGATAATAGAAAGGGCACAATACAAGATTGAATGGCCTTGAAGAGTTAGAAATTAACTGTACCCGAGAGATATTAAGTGAAAACTAGGCAGACCACCATTAAAATGGGATGATTCGCTGGTCAAGATATTGGACAAACTCTAGAAAAGGAAAGCTGGGGACAAAGGACACCGGAAGTTTTGCGACTTGCACCATTGGAGAATCTCCAAATGAAAACGCAAGTCCACCTCGAACAATTCTGGTTCTAAATTAAAAGTTCGTATAATTTTTCTATCTGATGCGATGTTTCTTCATTTATAATACTTTTTACATGAGACATTGTGTATCTGTATTGAACCAGAAGTTCTCTAGATACGCAAACCGTGAGATCTGAGTACAGAAAAGTAATAATAAGAATAATAATAATAATACACCGGAATTTTAATTCGTACAATTGAGTTGAAGAAAGAATTGTCATCCGGTATCGGGTGTATTAAATGGAAAACAAATGAATGATGGGTAAAAGAGATGAAGAGGAAAGTGATGTCAACGACGCGAGGCGTGTCCATGAACCATGGTCTGGCGATCACGTGCACCCAAGTGAGACATAAAAGCCCTCAGTATTGCAGAACCTATTGGACAAGCGTAGGACATTTCGAGAAATAACTGTTATTCCCGAAAATTATAAATTGAGATGTCAAGGTTAATTAACTCGGGGAAATTCTAAACTAAACTTATCAAAGAAGATAAATTTATATTTTAGTAAAAATATCATTTCCGTATATCTATTTATACAATTGAAACGGTCGATTACTACCAACATTTCAGATAAATGAAAACAAAATGGAATTCTCTATAAAATGCAAGTGAGAGTATGTTTTCCAGAAACAGTACGAAGCGTTTATGAACTGAAATTACTCGTTTCTTAAGGTTGTGTCAAGTAAGGTCAATGTGCCGAATATTACATCTAAACTACAAGTAATTTTTTTATCGTGACTTTTTCAAACTATATTCTTTTCTTTGAATACAACTGTACGCTTCTTTTTATATTTTAATGTTTAAATCATATAAAAGCTGGATGAGAATAAACTTATTATTTTAATCTATTATACGGACCTACAGTTTATTTGATAAACTTCTTTCACGTAACGTCTATTCGTAGTAATTCTACCGTGCCATAAGCCGATTGTAAGAGTAAAAGAAAAAATAATAATAATGTTTAAATATAATTTCTGTATCGAGAGGGGTGGCTTAGAAACGAAGTCGTGTACTAGATTCACATTGAACAAATCTCCTTTCAAACAATAAACAGAACATAAATGTCAGGAACAGTGACTGATGATGACGTGACCGCGACATTACTGATGACGGTCGAGGTAAATGCTGGAAAATCACGTCCAGCTTGTTTCTAAGAATATGTAACTTCTACGGAGTGTACGGTACGCTCTATTTCTTCCGATCGCACCCAGAAATCTAACATGAAATATGGTGCTTTTCTAAATGTGGAACATCAGTAATAAGCATGGCCTTTTCACGAGATTTCGTGTAATTCCCATAGAAATTATCCATCTGATTAAAAATCATTTAGAAAATATACGTAGAATTTGATGTGGTACAATATATATATATATATATATATATCACATACATATCATATTGTATCGTGTACTGTACATTATAATGTCCGTGTGCGTTTAAGTCATTCTGCACAATAGCAGGAAATGTGATTGTTATTCAGACATGTGAACAAAATCCTGTTATAAGTTCAGCTGGAATTTGAGTTCGTCAACCGTATATTTACTGAGTCAATTGGCGTTTCGTTGTCTGGGAAATGTGTACATTTACTTGCCAGTATCCCAAAACGGTTTCTTACGGGAAAAATCGTAATAAAAATGAACTGTGTTATAATTACGGAAAAATTGGCTACGTAACAAAAGCTACAAGACGAACTAAAAGATTACAAAACGCAAGACATTTAAAATTTTCCTATGGACAGGCTCATAGACCAATGCTTACCAGACTACTAATTGCGTTAATTAGCGTACTTAATTAATCGGCGCTTAAAATACTTTGCGATCACTAATTATAAACAAGGAAATAAACTAACACTCAATGTTAATTAATATTCAACTTCTAGGGAAAATTAGGAATTTAATTAATTAAAATATATCCCGAAACAAAATTTATGACCACAGATATACTTAAATCATAATTATTATAATAAAATCCTATCATTAAATGTCACGTAAATTAGACCATTGAAATAGTTTTTGATATTTGATAAAAATTTATATATTTAAAACGTTTTACATTCCGTAAATTTTTAAAAGCTTTATGTATATTCCGGCTTAATATAAATAAGCCGGCATTTGCAATACATAAAGGTCTTAAAAAGCAGATAAAATAAATCTGATAATTACCATAAAATTAAAAATAAATATATATTATTTATAAGATACATTGAATGCGCAATAAACTAAATATTAATTTCCAATTTAATGTGCATAAACTAATTTTTTTAAAGAAAAAAGGGCCGTAAAAAAAGCAGTTGATCAGAATTGCCCGGGGTGATCGATTCATTTCCTCATTCAGAAGTTGAGATCGTGGTAAGATAAAGAATCTTCAGTTAATGTACTTTAAATCTTGTGAAAATTTAACGGAAAATAATGATATTCGATAGCCATTTTCATTAAATTAATTACTTTGGGCGTGTTTATACGCGAGATTATTTTATAACTTTACAACTAAAAAAAATTATAAATTATCGACTTTTTTAAATTTAGATATTTATCAATTAAATCTGTACAATTGTAAATATATATATATAGGCCTATATAATAATCGTATTAAGCTATAAACGTAAAAATATTTATAGAATCATGGACCAGTGCACAAATCTATTCTCATTGATGTTGCACCATTCTATACAGTGAATAGTGCAATATCATGCATATAAAGAATATTCGTTTTATATTAAATATATTACAGAATTGTGTTACTTAGTCTACAAATAAAACTGCGTTTTAATGGGGAAAAAGTTAACTTAATTCCTTGTTAATGTTATTTGGAATTAACACGTGCGATGTTCCTAAAATTCCGACTGATTTCGGGATCATTGAGTGTTCCATTTAATATTTATAAATAAAATTTAATATAGAATTTTTCTACTTGAAGTAACTTAAGCTCGGACGACTCAAGCAAACAATTAATTTACTTATAGACTAATCGGTCACTGTTTATTTCTATAACAAGGTATAATATTAATTTATATATTAACGTAGAGTATAGTTAATTTATATGAAATGATACATAATTCTATATAGATTAAAATAGAATAATTCTACTATTCTATAATACGTGTATCACGGAATGGTGTACCTGTTTACCTGATATATCATCCTACACATTAACTAGTTGCAAATTAAACAGTTGGGTTTATCGTTCTGTATACCTTACCGTAGGCGGTGGGCAAAATTGCCAGGGGCCCAAACTAATCTTTTATATGAAAAATTTCCCCGAAAAAGTCTGAAGTCAACACCGTACTGTACGTGGAGCCCTAATTCAAATTGCCTGGGCCCCACGAAGCTATAACGCGCCAGTGACCATAGGTTTATCATTTTGTACACATTACCATAGATTTATTTATCGTTCTGTACACGTTACAAGGTTAGAATTATCATTAAGTAGGTGCACTTTTGATACAGAACGATACACCTACTCTACAAGTATAATTGTATTAACAGTGGCCTAGAAGAGTTATCCTATGGAAAAATTGCCCCTTTTTTGCCCATAAAGCTAACGCGCCATTTTTTTTTAAATAAAACATTATTTCGGGGCCCCACCAAGAGGGGGCCGCAAACCAATCTTTTATAAGAAAATATCTTCCCCTGGAAAAAAAATGTCCGAAGTCAACACGAGGGGGCCCCCTCATTCGAATCGGCCCGGGCCCCACCAAGCCGTAACGCGTTAATAAAAGAAACATTTAATTAAATATTAAACGCCCGATTGTTGTTTATTCAATTTCCAACTTACCCGCGGCCCACCAGTAAACGTAAAGCGTCCAAATTTCCGTAATAGGAAGCCCAAAGTGTCGGTGTCATTCCATCTTCGTCTGGAGCATTGCAATCTCGTCTGTTGGCTTCTCTTAATAAATCCAAATAACCATCCCTAGCAGCCCTGTGGAAGCGATCCCTGTCGGTCGAGAACATCTTCTAGCATTTCACGACACTTTCCACATAATTGTAAGCGATAATAATTAACTTTAAAATCAAAAAAAATAAATAAAATGTCGTTGGAGTCGGGAGTGTAACCAGCGTCCTCTTTGCAAATAGTTCGTCTGCTCCGTTCGTGCAGACGCTGATGACGTGTGGACTCGGTGACGTCACCGACCGGTTTCGTGCACGGTTCGGTAAATTTAACTTTTAATACGGAGTGTCGAGTAAAATAAAACTTTTAATTTTTAGTTTTATAGTTAATTCTTTTTTAATAATAATTTTTATATTAANTATATATATTTTAAATCTTGTTAGCTATTAAACGAATTCGAAATTTTTATACTAAACGATGATTGGTTAGAATTTGAAATTTTGAAAATTCAAACTGAAAATGCTTGTTTTTTTTTGGTTAAAATTTGGTTCCACTTTTTGTGTTTATCCTTGTATTATAATATGTATTGTAGAAAACTATAAACACGCTTTCATCCACACTTCCTGTCGAATAGGATCAACCGACAAAATTTCGACAAAGAGTGAAATTACAGGAAGTATCATAGCTTATGTCAACGAGGGATGCATAGTAAATAATTTTTCCCTCTCTTTTATTTTACGTTTTGAGTTCCTTTTAAAGAACAATGCACCTTTTCAAAATCGGAATTTAGGTCTAAATTAAAATCTAGATTAATTAACTATTTGTTTTCATTATAACTTGTATGGTTCTCGGCCTTAGCTCCTTTAGCTCCGAACACCCGATCTATGTCCCTTTATTAGAAGATAAAGTGTATAATTTCAATAAATATACAGATATGACGATATACATCTGTTTATTTCGATTTATCTATAAAAAATTTGATGTTTTACACCCTCGAAAAGGACATCTCATATCTTAAGGGAATGTATTCACCTATATGAATGAATCACTTTGCTGTCTGATCAAACTGATCAAACTTTAACTGAAATTTCCTAATTAAACATATTCATCTTTAAAAATACCTTGAAAAAATATTGCAAAATTTCTTGGTAAGATGAAAATGTATAGGCTTATACTGTACGTTTAATTCTACATTTATATGTAGGACTATAAATATATATATATATTTCTATTAAAACCAAGGACATAAACTGAAACGATCCGAGACATAATTAATGAAGTTAATGGAGTATACAAGATGATCGATATTAATTCCTGCTTATGGCTTTACTTGGATTGACAAATGTAAAGATTGAAATGCTTTAAATCGAATGAAAATAATTCAATTATTTTTTTATATTTTATACAGAAATATATGTAATAGAAGAAAGATACGACGATCGGTCAAAAGCATCCCCTTCAAAATGTTTACATTTTTGGACTTGGGCACTTTGAAACACCGAGAAATGTAGAAAAATTGGATTTTTTTCCTCCTGTGTATATGGATGTTAGTGTGTGGGGAGTACGATTTTGTACTTTGAACCTTAATAACTCCTGTGCCTTTTGTCGAAGTTTTTTGAAATTTTGCAAGGAGATTTGGATATTAGGTGGATTGATGCCATTAAATGTTGGTGGTTTTTGGTCCAAGGAATAGAAAGATGGAGATGGGTCCAGTAGGGTCAGACTTAAAGACGATTTTACTCGTTATTAGCATTTACAAGTTTTCATGAAACTCGTCTCTACCCTGAAAATAAAATTATTTTTGTCACTTTATAATAATTAATAATATAAAAACTTTTAAAAATAAAATATCGTAATAGATTGCTCCACACACAACCCATAGCCTTCCTTCTAATTATTTAATAAACTATAATTGTTTATATATAAATTTATAAATGAACATTTTAATTATTAATGGATTCTCTATGACGAAATAAATATAGTACAACTAAAGTAAATATATATTAACATATATTTTATATAATGTCTTGCCCGTCTACCGGATTTTTGAAAGGATTTGGTTTGATATATACATTTCATACAGCATTTAACTATTTCTGCTGTTTTCTATTAAATAAAAATTAAAATACAATGTCCATTACTTTTGTTTTATATTTACAGTTTAAATTATAATATATATTGTCAAAATTATTTTATTTTATTTGAATTTAATAACTGAATGGCAGGAAATGTCTTACTCTACAATTATTTATATATTTATTCTTATTATAATAATCTGTCACCATTGAAAATGGCTGATATATGATAAAATATTGTAAATATAATGACAAATTGTTTTGCTATTTCATCATAAATGTATGATAAAAATGTTTTATCCTATATATTACAAATAAGCTTATTTATACTATATAACATATGATGTAAATTATTACAATACATTAAATTATTACGTAAAAATTTTATACTTCTTCATTTCCAGTTTATTTTTTATTAAAAATACTCCTGATATTCTATAATATTAATTTTTAAAAATGCCATCATATTATTATTGTTCTTACTGAGACAAATTAACAAAGAAACTGGTAAGATTCGGCATTATATTCATTTCAAAAACATACTAGATTAGTGAAGAAGCTTGGAAATTGTAGAAGAATACTTGAAATAGAGAAGCTGAACTACTACTTCTGGTTAAAGCAGTTATCAATACACAATGGAGAGAGTATATCTCATGAATTGCCACTTTAGAAGTATAACAAGTGGCATGCTAATAAGAACATCGATTATTACGACTTAAAAAACATTGACAATCATAAAAAATTGAATAGAAAATGGTGTGTTGCACTTTTAAAATAGACAATAAATGGTTGGTTGATTGGCTTCTTTTTTATAGAGAGGGAAAAAAGTCGTAGTGAAGTTACACTGTGCTATATTTGATTTTAAAAAAGCCATGTGTTACAGGTGTACTATAATACAATTAGTATAAAACAATAATACACAATAAAATTAAATTTTAAAATGATTAAATTAATAATATTCAGATAATACAAGAGAAAGAAATGCAATTATTTTTAAAGGCAATAATCTATGTGACACATTTAATGAGTTTTTAAAAACTAAACTAAACAATGAAATAATTTAATTGCTTAATTTATGCTAAATTATGATTTTATAATGAATTTTCTAATTCAATTTTATTTTTAAAAATTTATTTAATAAAAATTTGATTTAATAAAATTTTTTTTGTAAATTTTCGAATTCAACATTTAATCGAATGATATCAAAAACGAAAAAATATATATACTGTCCACCTCAAATTAGTAGTGTCTTGCCCCTTTACATCATACTTTTCCTGCAAGCAACAAAGTTCTGCCGCCATCTATCTAACACCTTACAGGGGAAGTTTTGAATTGAAATAACGTGATTTTCGGTTTGTATTGGAAGTTAATATATAGTTAATCGGCGCCTCCTGTCCATATGCTTTCCATATATTGTCTCGCCTTTCGATAACTAACTACGTTCTCGAAGTTAAGGAAAGACAGACAGACAGACAGTGGGAATTCACAGGTCTACAATTTTTCATTTATTTAGGAAAAAAATGTAATTATAAATTTATATACGAGTATTCCTCCTGTTCAATAGCCTTCAAGCGATCATGACACATTGCTTAGCGGGTGGCATAGTTTTCTTTCTCCTCCTCCAGTTTATGGAACACCTGTACATGCTTTGCACGTTTTAGTTTGTAATGAAAGATCTCCCACGCTTGAAGGCATGGTTGTAGCACAATGAGCACCTGGCTTAGTCTTCTGGTTGATGATGTAGACTTCATTTCATGCGGTGTCCTGGACATTACATTACCCATTTGCCCGACTTTGGTAACCAACAGTCTGATATTGATACTGATAGGAATAGGATTTATGAATTTCTGGGTGAAATTTGTTTGTACTTCTATGTAAAGAAATCCACTAAAATAGGCGCAAACAAAGGCGATTTTCTCTTCTTGGATCAGCATGTTTCACACGACCTGTATACAAGTGATTTTATTACAATTTTCATAAAAATGGATCGAGACTTAATAATAACCTTGTATATCTCATATACAACGACTAATATTAATTTTATCGTTAGTATATTTAAAGAAATGAAAGAAGTTAACGTCGACATCAATTCATTCTTATCAACTGCAATCTTGTTTGATGACGTTTGCCTGTACTTGTATATGATTGGTTGCTTATTTCGTTATTCTGGTTTCTCGAAATAGCAGGTGAGAGTATTGGGTAATTGCATTCCGCTTTCCCTAGCGAATGTGTGAGTGAAGTAAGCCTAAAAATGGAGCCAATGTGCTAGATCTTAATTAAATATGTATTACTAGTAGCCCGGGACGCCCCCTAGTGGGCGTTCTTTACAAATTTCCATGAAGCACGGTTCCTTTGACTTTTTTGTTCCTATCAATATGCTGTACAGCTCTGTTAAAGTCCCAATGGTAAGATTTACCCTCCGAATGAAGAGGTGGCGACCCCCCAAACTGTAGCCCCTGTGCGAACAATAAAGTCAAAGGAACCATACCCCTACTCGCGATCCTTCGCGAGATATAAGCCCCTGAAATAATAAATTCCTATTACAAATATACTGAATTATTTATATTGTTATATTGACCAAATAATAATTTATGGGCCAAATGAATAATAATAATTCATATTGTTAATTTAAATAAGAATTAAAATTGTTAATTTGAATGTTTGAAATATGACACATGATAGGGGCGCCTCTAGTGTCCGTTATCAAACGGTTATGGGACAGACGGACACTTTGAATGGGTTATATATATAGATAATGCGACTGCAGCTAAGCAAGAAAATTCTTCGTAACGCTACATCAGTTGATATGACGTCTTGTGACATTTTTTTTTTTTGTAATTTCAAATTTCTTGCAAAAATTTTAAATACACTATAATTTAAGCATCTTATAATTTTTAAATACACTCATTGCCATAAAAGCGCATAAAAAATGAGGTGTCGTGCCGCTGCGAAACTTGGCACGCAGATAAGTCTCAAGGTGATATGAAAATTATTAGAGTTATAGCGTGGTGGCTCATTGCTTATTGCCAGCAGAAGGCATCAAAGTGCCCTTTGGCCTAAAAAAAACTCATAAAGCCATACTGTCATCGGCGTGGTCCTCCCGCTCACTATATCCGAGAAACTTGGAGCCTAGAGGATCGATGTGGCGTTTTCGGGGCAGAAGCCCTTGGAATCCTGTGGGCAATTCAACTCAGCTAACCACTTCACCGCCCGACGGCGATCTTTTCAGACAGTACGTCGGCTTACAAGCGGTGGCTGACGTCATATTCTCCTCACCCGCGGTCATCATAGACCTGGCGGCTTCCATCTGTTCATATACGGCGCCCATCGTTGTTGGGTAGATGCCGGGGCACCCCGGTATCCCGATTAACGAGGCAGCTGACAAAGTTTCTCGCCAAGACACGCTGACCGGCTCTATATGGAAGACGCTCATGCCGAAAGACCTCTCCCGACATATGAGGAACAGGACCATTCAGAATTTGATTGACACCTGGACTCCCGACCTGCGTAATAAGGGACGAGATCATCTTCGTTCCTTTGCCGATTGGATTTATCATCACGCTCAAACCGCTAGCCTCAAACCGATACCCCACGTGGCGGCGTTGGAACGTTACATCAATCGCAGCGGCCGCTTCATTTAATTAAACACCAGTCGGAGATGAGAGCCAACTAGGCTAACGTCTCCATATCAACCAACCAAGAACAAGAATAAGCCATTCTGTCTGTAGTTTACCTGTTGCAGAGTTACGCCGTATCACTAGAGATGACTTTACATCGTAATCGAAAACCACATAAACACCGACGCAACGGACGGAACCGGGTCGTCTACAGCGACGAATCCAGATTCAGTTTGGGCATTGACGAGGGTGTGTACACAACCGTCAGTCCTGCCTATGCTTTGGAGCGACACACCACCCCACAGCGGATGTAATCACATACAACTGCCGGCCACCTCTAGTAGTGATCCAAGGGACTACCCAGCAGTATGGTAGTAACATCCTGCAGCCGCATGTGTTGCCTCTCTGGCAGGGCTCCCGAGAGCCATTTTCAATAGGACAATGCTCGACCACACACAGCAAGGATGTCACGGACTGCCTCCGTCATATTGGCACACTTCTCAGTCCTGCCCTGTTCCCCCCTATTTGTCACCGATCGAACACGTCTGGGATCACCCGGGACGCCAAGTTGGGCAACCCAGGAGTTTGGCCGAACTGGAAGACCGTTTGCGACAACCGTGGACAGAGATACCGCAGGAAACCATACGGCACCCGTATTCCTCCGTGCCCTCCCGTATCATGTGGTGTATTCGTGTTAGAGGTGGCCCAACGGGGTACTAGAACCGCCTTTTTTTGTAGATTTTCCTGCAATAAATGTTTCTTTTGCTTTCATTTTATAATCACTTATATAATCGTTGCACTCACACATGTACTGTACAATTTCGTTCGATTCCGACTACTCCTTGGTGCGCTAATTTTTATGGCAATGAATGGTTATATTCTAATACGTAACGAACATGGAACTATTTTCATTCACAAATGTATACAAGGCACTATTCTTAATATAGGTCATGATATAGTATAATTAATCAGTTAGACATTTTGAGAGAATGAAAGTAAAATATAAAAATTATATATTTTCGATTATTTATCAGCTATTTTATAACGCAAATGAGATAATTATTGTTTTCTCGGGTCACACAATGATAATTTGTGAGACTATCTTCTGAATGATATCTGCAGATTTTGCAATTATTTTAAGTTGACGAAATAAAGTGTGGTCTTTATTCAATTATTATTATTTTACTTATTCATTCGCAAAAAATAAAAATAATAATAAATAAAACCAACTGTGCATAATAAATCAATAAAATATAAAAAACTTCATCTGTATATTATTTGGTTTACTGGTAAAGTTATAAAATTTTATCATAAGATTCATACAATTAATCAAAAATACCTTTATCCCAGAGATGATAGACAATTGTAATAATGGTTTGGTGGGCGATCTACCAGGAGGAAGGTGCTTCTCGGGAGGAATTTCTATGGAATACTGGCTCTACATTGGTGTTAGACACGCGAAAAAAGCCCGCAAAACTCCATGCGCACGTGTAGTGTTCTCTTAGCCCTGTGTAGTATTTTGGATTGGCTTCAAAGTTATCGATGATCGGTGAATTGATGGTTTCGTGTAATCATGGCGACGGATCAATGCTTACGTCTGACCATAGATTAACCGTTTAATTAACTTCCGACGTTCTGTGGCACTAAAAGAATTTTTATTTATAATTATGTCCATTATGGGTTCGGCTATGTCTACAATGGATGCCGCTGCCTGGTTTTATAACTATACTCCTATTTGCAAAACAAAAACGCTTTTATTTTTACGAATAGGAGTATTGCAATTTATATGCAGGGTGTCTCAAAAGCTCGTAGACTTTTAAAAAATCAATAAATTGGCATATTATAGTGGAGTTTGCACCAAAAGATTTGTCATGGAGGTGTATTTTTTTGGCATAAGAAAACATTTTAATTTAAACTTTCACCAATAGAGGAATGCTGTATCGTTTGCATCACGAAAATATGAAAACTTAAATCCTTCAAAAAGATGTGCAGCTGTATCATCAGTATTTTGTGCAAATTAAGTATTACATTCCAATGTCAACGTTAATTTTCATGCATGCAAATTAATTAATGTTGATATTGGTGGATAAGGCAACACCGCTGGTAAAACTACTATAGCTGCGTGAAGCGTATCAAGGTATACACCTTGATACGCTTCACGCAGTTATCAGTTGTGCTACACTTTTGGCTCACCTGCCCACACTACAACCAGGCCCTCCTCGAACTCGAATCTTCTCCCAATATCAAAGTCGCAATACTCGTGGATCAGTCTATGATTTACTGGTCCTCTGCACTCATAATCATAGTATATTCGGATTCCAATTATGAGAAGGACGTCGTCTATCGATCCATATTATTTTTATTTCGTCATTTTTAGGGAAAACATGATATATGATTTAATTCAGAATTGCTCCTAGTTTTAGGCATACTATTGTTTAATAAAGTAACACCTCATACCTGGCATCTAAATTTAAATCTGAAAAAATAATAATGGCGAAAATTTCTCTATGTAATATTAAATGCTTCTGCTTTTAAATTTATATCATTTGCTGAAATCTTGCAACTCAAATTTCATTCACTTCTAATTAGGAGCCTAGAGGGTATGCCTAAGTACGGTAACCGCGTTGTTTTCAGGGATGAACCTCCCTATCCTAATCGATAGACATGACTATATGGCCGATGGCGGAGCGGTTTTTTTTTTTACTTTTTCCGCCCGGTGGGAACTAAGAGGTCTCTTTTAGCAAACCCATTATGGGATCGGCCAAGTCCACAATGGGGCAACCGGGTGGTGAGGAACGGTGCCCGACATATCCGGACGGACCACCCCCGAAAATTTCCTGGGGATTTATCGACCCGTCCGGATTCGAACCCGCGACCCCCCATAGCGGTAGGCTGCCACCTTGATCGCTCGGTGGTAACCTATAGCTTTTATTCATTATTTGCTTTATTCAAGAGTCATAATATAAATTAAAACCAATACAAAATTTTTATTTAGCAAAGTTAATCATCCGCAGACATTTATCGCTCATTGATATTAGTATTTTTATCTGTCAATGATATCAATACGTGACATTAATACGATTATTCCGATATTGAAAATGATACCAAATTGGACTTTCTTTAATTAAGATGCCCTCTAAATTTCCGTTTAGAATCAAATCATATACAATGAAGCAAATTTATTGTTTATTTTATTACTGATATAGATTTTCTCAAATAATCATAACCGAGTAGACATATATTAATTGAAATTAAGATTTTCGGCCGAAAATGCTATCTACACGTTAGCATAACCGCGACCTAACTGGGAAAGCAAACATATTATCGCAGCTCCACCTGGTAATAAGAAAATCTAACATCCAAAAAATGAAAGAAATTAAATTTTTAAACTCCTTTATTATATTATCGCAGGAATTTTAATTTTAAATAATAATTTTACATAATCGAATTTATTGTAATTAATTCGCGTGCTTTTGGCGATTAAATAATGACGCATCATAAGCGAATACCTCAAGAGAGGGGTGATTATTTGTAATCGAGTCACCTGACGGTCACAAGACTCTTAATCAACTTCTAGTTTATATAAATAGATAAGAAATACTCGGCTTTTGTTTGCTTCAGAAAGACAAAGGATGAAGTCGTCAATTCTGTTCCTTTTTGTTTGTCTAACGCTAAGCACTTGCGAGAATTTAGTCCGAATTCCGCTTTATCGATTTAAATCGGTCCGACGTCATCTTCACGAAGTTGGTACACCAATCAAAATCGTCAAAAATGAGCGTTATTTCGGCGTAAATGGGCCCTTTCCCGAACCTCTGTCCAACTATTTAGATGCCCAGTATTATGGACCCATTACAATTGGCACTCCGCCTCAGAATTTTAAGGTTGTTTTCGACACCGGTTCGTCGAATTTATGGGTCCCCTCTAAGCAGTGTAAATGGACCAACATTGCTTGTTTGATCCACAATAAGTACGACCATACAAAGTCCTCGACCTATCAGAAGAATGGAACCTCGTTTAAAATTCGCTATGGGAGCGGTAGCATGACCGGTTTCTTGAGCACGGACACTGTGGCCATCGACCAGATACCGGTCAAGCACCAGACCTTTGCCGAAGCCGTGACGGAGCCGGGATTGACCTTTATCGCTGCCAAGTTCGATGGTATACTTGGTCTGGGTTTTGACAACATTGCCGTCGACGGAGTGACTCCGGTGTTTACCAACATGGTGAGGCAAAAGTTGGTAGACAGACCCGTTTTTAGTTTCTACCTCAACAGGAATCCCGATGCCAGCATCGGAGGGGAAATTATCTTTGGCGGAAGTGATCCCAAACATTACAAAGGTAACTTTACTTATGTTCCTGTCACAAGAAAAGGATATTGGCAGTTTAAGATGGATGGAGTATCTGTCGGCTCTAGTAACGGAAAGTACTGCGTCGGCGGTTGTCAAGCCATTGCTGACACTGGTACCTCGTTGATTGCCGGTCCCACCGATGAAATTACAAAGCTTAATAAGGAAATAGGAGCTACGCCCCTGGCGGCTGGCGAATACATGATCGATTGCGATTTGATTCCTAAATTACCCGTCGTAAATTTTGTTTTGGGTGGAAGGAGCTATCCTCTTCAAGGATCTGACTACACGATGAAGATATCTCAATTTGGACAGACTGTCTGCATCAGTGGATTTATGGGCCTGGATGTTCCTAAACCTATGGGACCTTTGTGGATTCTCGGCGATGTTTTCATCGGGCGTTACTACACCGAATTCGATTACGGCAATGCTCAAATAGGATTAGCCGAGACGGTATAAAATAAATTTCATCTTTTGTTTTACGGTTACAATTGCTTAATCTTTTTGTAATTGTAAAATATTTGCTAATTATTAAAACATGTAGCTTAATTGTATAAGTGATAAAACCTTTGGAATGTAATTTATTATTATAAACAATCTAGTTTGTATATCTGACAACACCACTACTAGACGTTGGACTCCGAACTTATTCTACTTTGGACTGTTTTTTTTTTTAAATTCACAAGTTGAGATAATTGTTTGTTTATAAAATGTAAAACCAAATTTTGTAATTAAAAACAAATTTATATGTTTATTAATTTTAAGAGATTTGTCTAAAGGCTAGATATTTAAAATTGTTGTATAAAATGAGTGTGTGTGTATATTATATATAATGCACTCTCTTATTAAAAAATAAAGAAATTCAAATTTTGTAAATTGGTAGTTTGTATTAATATTTACTAATATGGCAATTTTTTCTATCTGCTGGAGCACTTCCATGATCTTCAGTTTTATCCACTGCCATGGTGAGTTGATTAAATTGCCGAATGGTGGTGATCAGTCACGGTTTTGTGCATGACTAATGGTTGGTTGATCATGTGAAGTTTTTTGCATTTTTTTTACCACATGTCTAAAACATTTGGTTTTTGCCAAATACTGAGCGAACATTTGGTCAATACCAAGTAGTTTACTTATGACTATTTGGTATTTTCTATATGCTGAATCAAAGGGTTCCCCTTTGATTCAGCATTATTTGATTCAGGATCTCGGACAAACATTCTTAATTCCTGCAAAGAAATGTTGCTCTGTAAATAATCATATATGTGGACATATCACTGCTTTGCTTTGAGTGACACAACTAAAAAAACATATGCAAAGAAAGCGTAATCAAACTCTTTAAGTACAGTATAGTAGTTTTATCACGTAAAAAAGCATATTTGTACCTCCATTGGATTCCCATCGGAAATTGTGTCAATTCATATTCAACTTTTAGTCAAGTAAACTTTTTAAATACTTCCTGTGTAAAATAACACTTTTTTAGAATTATGCCCCTATCAAAGCAAAGCAACAATGACAAACACTTCAGTAAATTTATTAAATTAATATGCCTCAATGTTCTTAATTTATTGTAATCTTATTTCGTTCACTAGTATGTATCTATTAACAGGATTTATTAAACTGGCTTTAATGATACTGCAACTCAGTTTCATAGATTATAAAATTATTGTTGTATTTAATTTACCTGGACACATACATTTTAATATTGCGTTTCAGACTTGTTCGTCCCTCTTTTTTAAAATTTTGTAAAAAAATTTATTATTTTTTAATTTTTATGTAGAATGTTGTATAAATACCTGCTGATGAGGGATGAACAAGTGGCAAAAGGCAGTTATTTGGCTGTCAGCAAATACTGAATGTGAAGCTGGTTAACACCTAAATATAGGCTGGTTTTCCATAGAAAGTTCTCTTGGAAGGCATTTCCCTAGCAGATTGCCATATATCATGTTGCCACATCCTATCAAACCGACCCTCCTATGATCAAGAAACCAAATGTAATTGTAGGTTTGCAGATTATTTTTCAAATAGTCTGCAAGCCTGTCTAATGCAGTATCAACTTAAAAATTGGTAGGTAGCATCTTGACACCGCCAGATGGTCGAGCAGTCGAATCATCAACCTACTGCTCTGGAAGACCAGGGGGGAGAATTTTCACGATCTGACCCATATATGTCAGGATGTCCCAACTCTTGGTACAATATGTGAGCCCGGCCAAACTCGATGGGCAGTGATGGTAAGTCAACACTCAGTTTTTTCTTGAGACAAGAATGTCTAGTTCTCATCTCTGTCTTACTTTCCAATTTGTAAATTGTATTATATATTAATTATATTTTATATAAGGATTGTTAAAGTCTTGTGGGTTAAAAATGGCAATGTTATAAGGTACAGTATCAGGGTTTTGAATATTGGTCTTGAAAATTAAAATCTTGACTATGTATTTGGGTCTTGAATTGCAAGTTAGGGTCTTACATCACCAATAATGGGTAAGGAAAACTGTTCTGTTAGTACTCAAGGTAGAAAAAGCCAAAAAATGAGAAAAGCATCTGTATGATAGATGAAATGAATACTAAATTTTGACTTGGATACATATAGAGTAACAGATTCTCCTATTCTCATAAACTTGATCCTCTTTATAATTCATGTCAAAGGGAGAGATGAATTCCAAAATAGGAAAATTGAAGGTGACCATGTACTGTAGTCTGTATTTTATAGGTATATCATGATGTACCTGTTCAATTCTGGAAATCTTATAATCATTTTATGTTTAAATATACTTGTTTTAATAATTGACATTCTGAAAATTTTGTTACTTTAAATGAAAAAATATTCAAAAATTGTGTAACAAATGAGGGTACCATTTAATACAGAATTTAAAATTGTATACTTTGGACTTTATCACAATATTAAGATATAATTATCAATTGAATATCTTACTGATAATTTTTAAAGAATTCTAAATAATAAATAAGATAATATTTTACATTTTATTAAAAAAGAATTTCATTTGAAAATATAAATTTATAATTTTAACTTTTCATTTATCATGAAATATTGATTTATGATTTAATGGCAAATTCTGAAAAAACATTGTTTAGAATAAATCTCTCCTTAACCAAAGGATAGTTATATTGATGTTATGTCATTGCTTCCAGTTTTTAATATGTTGTAAACATCAGACTATTTTGTGCCCTAGGCAAGGCCCTATTAGCACTACCACCAAAAAAATTGCAATTTCAATTTTTAACAACAGTTATTTCATTTTAAAACAACTAATTTGTGTAAAACTTTGAGTCTTAAAGTCTTTGAGTCTTTGAACCTTAAAGGTCAGTACTTTGCATCTTAGAAGCATGGGCATCTGCAGAAAATTTTCCAGGGGACAAAGCAATACATCAATAAATTTTTATTTATTTAATTTTTCTCGTAAGTGTCCCATGGTCCAGTTACATATCTCAATTACTTTTACAATTATAATTTTTGGAAATTTCCTCGTTCCCATGGGCCCTGCAAGTGCCCTGTTTGCTCCCCTCTGCAGATGTCAGTGCTCAGAAGTCTATGACCTAGGTGGCTGCCTAATTGACCTAACAGGTTGTTGGCCCTGGTTGAAAAAAATTACTATTCACCTATTAACATAAGCATTTAGCTGTTTCCATTGTGAAGTTAAATAACTTCAAAGATGTTTGTAATAAAAGACCAAAATCAAGTGAAGAACAGATATGGAAATGTAATTAAAAAAAATGTTTCCATTTAAGAAAAATCAGTTGAAATACATGAAACAATCTTATAGTTAAATAACAGTTTTTTACAAAAAAAATCAGGTTAATCAAATTCACTTTGGACTTTAGTTCAATTATTGAACTATAATAAATTTGGAACAAAATTTCTCTTTTGTGTATAAATAACACTTCAACTACCAAAACATTTTATGTACAGTGGTCACAAAATCGATGCATAAAATTATGTCTCAAGTCTTCCAATTGGAGAATATCATTGACAAATTCAATAGAAATGAAACCAAAACAGTACACCTTCCTCAATCTGGATTTAACAATTCATTGCAATATTGTGAAAATTTCTCCACTTGCTTTACAATTAATAGTCTAAAAACAAATTACTGGAGAATGCTTTAATGTTTTTATGTTGTCAGCAAAAAAGATTTAATTTTAATGTTTTTGGGTAATTGGGGCTGTTGAGAAAAGGAGCCAGGGATTTTTCCTGACCCGGAGAATATTTAAGGGCCTGTAGCAAATCCAAATCCTATAAATTAATTTATTTTTACTAACAGAAAATAAAATCTTTAAAGCTGGTTTTTATTATTAAGAAATGTATGCATTCCATTTGTTCAAAAAAACAAGGTTAAAGGGCCTGCTAAGACACAAAAGGGATCTGCTCTACCTCTGGGCCCCACACACACTTTATGGATCTATGGGTGCTTTTTTAAAGTCAAAGTATGCATATTGTAGACTTGGCCAAACTTATGCAAGCATGAAAATAAGGATATGTGCTGAAAGCAGTTGAACCAAAGTGCAGTTTTTAAATTGGTATTATTATAAATGAGAACTATCGGTAATTAAAGATGAGCTGTAATACTTGACCATTAATTTTAATTTGATGATTGAATAAAAAGGAGCAATTGGCACAATTATTGAACTTTATATTTAACATCAACATCTATTGCTGGGTGATTAAACATTGATATAGTCAGGGCTTCATATAGTCTTAATTGACATATGTGATGTAACAGTTAAGCAGATAATCAAATTAATCAATTAGAGCATCTGTCTATATTATCAAATTTGAGTTTTCTTAGTTTGTATTTATACTTAATTTTTATAAACAAAATTCAATTTAAAAAATTTATACATTATTATTTCTAAAAGTTCTTCATGAAAGATGATATCAAACAAGGATATTGATTACTGATCTGCATAAACTGTGTGTTAAATGTCATCTTGAATTTCAAAATATATACAAATAAAAAACAATGTATTATTTAATATATGCTACTTGATTAAAAGCATTTTATGCAAATATATGCTACTTTTAATTGAGTTAACTGTTGGCGTGACATCCAAGCCAAGTATTTAATACACCTAATATATGCTAATTGAATAAATACTTTAAATGAAATCTCTCTCTGTTCTAATGCAATTACATCATGACTATACAAATCCATTCGTCTCTGTTTATTGTGAATAATGAATCTTTTATACAGGGTGCCCATAATTAGTTTCCTTATACAGTAGCTGCAACCAAGTGGATTGACACCAAAATTTGTATAGAGACTATGCAAACGGTGCAGAAAAGGACTTTGCAAAAAATTTTCGGCCACTCTGTATTATATCATAAATGTAAAAGAATCCAACATTATACAGACAATAAAGGAAAAGTATCTGTAATTTTTCTCAAACTTTATCAAAAATTATTTTCCATTTGTCATATATGGATACTATCTAGAAATTGCCCATTCTGTGCAAAAATTCTAATTTATCGTCGTTCTCTTGTAAGCATTATCTTCCATGCTGGCAATTGAAAATCAATAAAAGAGTTCTCGATATACATTTGCTCTTTATAGTTTTTTTTTTAAATCAATGCCTGAATTTTTGTTTTTACTCTAATAAAATTAAAGAAATTTACAAACAAAATGTTAAAATAAGGTGAAATAAAGGTTAGAAGCAAGTGAAGTACAGTCAACCCACCCTATAACACTGTTGATAATTCCATTTTATATGAATTCCATGTTGTATGAGTGACTTAGATTTTACAAATACGCCAGCCGTTCACAGCTCGACATACATATTTGTGAAATCTATGTGACACGTACAACATGGAATTCATATAAAGCGGAATTATCAACTGTGTTATAGGGGGTCGACTGTAATTCTTTATAATAGAACATTTTCAAGCTTCACAAATTATAAAAATTGAATGGTTATAAATACAGGTTTAATCCTGTTAATTTTGGTTCAATATTCCTAAATTTTGTAATTTTTTCTCTTTGTAATGTTTCAAAAGTATATTATTGCATGTTAAGTCTGAACTATAAAAAACCGATTGTAATTTATTCACACGGTCAGTTGTCCACTACATTTATCAATATATTCTCTAACCAGAAGATCGTGACACTGTTGCCATTTTTGTGTAAAACCTTACCTCCAAGTTTGATGGGAAATACCTCTAAAACTCCAGTAATTATTGAGAATTTCAAAAAAATGTGTTAACTTGTACCACTCTAAAGTATTAGTTTACAAGGCAGTAATAATTAGTACTGCTGTACCATTCAAAACATTAAAGAACTTATTTATATACAGTAATTTGAAATGTTAATTTCAAATTACTGTATATAAATAAGTTCTTTAATGTTCGAAAAATTCGAAAATTGAAAAGCGAAATAGAAGCAGCAGGATTTTTAGCTCTGTTTTCGATTGAATTCTAATATTAAATATTAAGTGAAGTGACAAGTGTTATACAGTTTTTGAAATCGGAAGTCAAGAGGGTTCTATCGGTGTGTAGGTTTTTGAAATTGGATACTTCGTTGAAAAGTTATGACGTCTGGAAAGATATTCGAACTTAGCGATAAATTACTAATTATGTCGGCAGACAGACTGACNGTGATGCGTAAAGAAGTTTCCCTAGAGAAGACTATTATGCTGGGAAAAGTGGAAGGTAGAAGGAAGAGGGGAAGGCAACGGATAAGATGAATAGAAGAAATAGAAAAAGTCACAGAAATGAAGCTGGATGAGCTACGAGAGACAACAAGGGAAAGATCAAGATGGAGAAGACTTGTCCATGAAGTCACCAGGAGTCGACGACGACTCGATGGAACTTAACAACAAAAAATTTGAAATGTTAATAGAAAATAACATTTTATGTTAGTGTTGTCAGTTTTGTATTTATACATTCTTGCCTTTTCTCGAGCCGATTTGATCATTTGCTTTGAATAAATAAAATTTTTGCAGGTTTTCTTAATTTCAATCCATACTTAACTTTCAAAATATAAGTTAGGGAAGAAAATAATATATTTTCCCTAAATTCTGGAAAAATCCATTAACATAGCAACCTTCTTGTGCACTGTTGGCATAGGAGACTGTAATTACGGTATGGTCGGTGTGGCAATTAGTTAAAAGGAGGTTTTACTTTCGGGTTTGAATTTCATTACTTTACAACAGTTTTTTACAGTATATAGAAATAATTGCTCTTAGAAACAAACCTCTAAAATATAACACCACCTAATTTACCTACAGACAAAAGACTTCTAAATCCAAAGTAAAACTTCCATAATGAAAAATCTGATCATTCATAGAGAATTAAATATCCTGTACTCTGCATGTAATCTTTAATTGTCTTTTTAAATTTACAACACATGAATTTAGAGATAAAATGCAATATTCTGTGCTGTAGACACCCACTTGAAGGCTGGTGTAAGTTTTCTATTGTTTGGCTGCAATTTGAAAAAATTGTAAACCTATAAATTTCCACTGTCGTCTGTCCATCTTCCTTAATCTTGAGAATGGTGTAGATTACTGAAAGTTAAGATCAGAAATAGAAAACTTAGGAGCAGGAGGCCCTGATTAACTACATATGAACTTCTACAGTTTAGTTATAGCATGAAATGAAGACAAAGTATTCTGAATTATTGAATATTTAAAAAACCCAAAACTAAGAGTCAAAGATCAGTTTAATTAAGGATGCTCTGTTTCACAAAATCACTTAATGGGCTGCAAGTGATGATAGAGACTGGGAAAAAAGATCTTTACTAATGTTTTATTCATGTTCTTTAAACTGCATGTAATGTAGGGATGAAAACATTACATATCCTCAGATTTAACTGGTAAAACTTAGAAAAGTTAAAATTAAATTTTTAAAATTATCGAAAAATTTTATAAAAGCTTTTTGAATGTGCAGGGAGTTACACATGCTCGATATGAGATGATGTCATCTGGTGGTCAAGTAAACTCAAATGGTGCTCGCTGAGCTAGAGAGTTTGAATCAGTCTCCTTGAAGTTAACCACTGTTACTCTCCTAAAGGCCTTGAATATTTCAAGTCTTTCTATGTTTCAATCAGGAGGCTTACTTTTATTCTGCATCCATTATATATGTTCAAAGTGCAATAAACCTTAAAAACTTGCATTAAATAGTGTTAAAAGACACTTCTATTTTGATTTGAAGCAAGAGAAACAAAAGTTTTGTTGTATTGAAACACTTGAAAACTACAAACAGAACTTGCCAAATCAATTAACTCCATAAAACAAAAAGTGGAAAAAAGTGACAAAGTAATATACGTTCATTTTTAAAATTCCTTTTAAAATATAAATTCAAATTAACATTGTAGAACGTATTATTGTACAGATGTGGCTTTTATTTAATGATGGCATAGATACGCTATAATCGTTATTACTACTACAATTTTGGTGTTATTGATGGAGTTAATCGATATGGCAAGTGAAAACGTAGTAACATCAAATTCAGTTTTCTCATAGTTTTCCATTATAGAGAAATTTCATTATCATACATTTTTTATTAAAAGATTTTTCGCAAAAATGAATAATAACAGTTCTGTTACTGTTAAAATGGTTGTTACTATCTTGATATAATGGTATAACTTTTTTCTTTCCAAAAACAATTTCCACCAAAATTAAAACAAATCGTTCAATAGTCCACACATATACTTCTGCGGCAGTTGAACTAACTAAATAATTCTTTTACTTACTTTTTATGATGATAACATTAAGTAGTTTACCATTATCTACAAGGCATTGGTCGGCACACACTGAAGCATTGCAATTGCAGTGTGCACTGGTGGATTTATGTTACAGTATGGAGTTAATTAGATTGGCTTCCAATAAATAAAATTTTTTTTGATGGCCAATAAAATTTTGTCATTAAGTGGTATTAATCTTTATTATTAGGGAAACTTATGAATATGAAAAGTTACGAGTATATCAAGTGCTTTGACACTAAAATTTTGAGAAATTTGAAATGTGAAGTTAATTGATTTGGCTCGTGAATGGCTCATATATCAAATCAATTAAAATTATGAGTAAGTGGACCCCACTTCCCTATACAAATACACATATAGTAGTAATTTGTATCCAAAATGATTTTTGAAAAACTAGAATGTATAATATTATACGTACAACAAAGTATATGCAGAGACCAAACCCCCTGCATAACTGGAAAACACTGCCATCTGTTGATTGTAGCATCACAAAACTAGTCATACATAACATTACATTAGATTTTAAGTAAATTAATTTACTGTAATGCAATTACTTTGCATTATAGTATATTAAAATTTGAAAGCATTAATATTCATGAGAGTAATTGCACAGTGCTTGATTTATTCAAAACACAAAAACAAGTTTCTAGATTATCTCAAAGACCCTTCTCGAACAGACTACATATATAGTCTGTCCATATGTTCCTTATATATTTCTGAACCCTTTGACCAATCTGGACCGAATTTCTCATAGTTACCCTCTACAACCCCATGAAATATAGGAGACCACAAAACCCAAGCATCCCAATTTTGTTCAAGATAATTTAAGATTAATGCATTATTATAAAAGCAAGCATTGCATAATAATTAACGAAGTTGTTGTATAATTACTGACAATTTCAGAGCATGGAGTCCTCTGGATTTGGAATCTTTGCCAAAATAATGATATTGATTTGTATTGGCCTATTGTATAATTTTGATGTGGAAGAGGGTTAGTTAAAATACAAAATAAAAAAAATATGAAAAATCTGATAACAATCACAAGTAAAAAATTTAATGAAATCAATCATAATTCTGACAAATTTTATACTATGTTTACCCAATTTTTAAACAATTATTATTCACAAGACATGTGCACACTCGTGTGTGTATCATAGATTTATGTATATAATATATACATAGTTCATTTACAAATATCCAATCAGAACTGTCTTAACAAAGTATTTTTTTTCCATTATTCTGCATACAAAACTCAAGCGTACATTTTTCTTTATAGATAGTGCGGAAACAAATGGGACGAGGTGATAAAATCGGTACAGTCAGCGACTTATATAAAACTTAAGACTGGAGAGAATCAAAAGCTGTGTAAAACTACTCGATTAATTGTTCTCTTTTAGATCGATTTCGTGCGTGTCTGTCTTTCTACGAAGCGTTACGTAGTATTTAATGAAAACGTTAACTTTTAATTTAGATAAAAAATAGTCATATATCATATACAAGACTGTAAAATAGTATATTAACGAGAAATTTGTAATTGGAAATTACAGTTCCGTATTCACTTTTAGATATTAGCAAAATACATAAATACTAGTCGAAAAATATACAATATTTAGATTAAGAAAAGATATTTACACGTTAACGGAATTGCCTTTCCCCCCTCTTTGTTATGTATGGATTGCCATCTTTGATCTAATTTATTGATTTTAGAGTCTGTATGTAAACCTACTGTAGACAAAATTATAAAATACAAATTGGGTATTTCCTTCCTTTTTTTACTATACAGTTATATTTTACATTTTACGCAATCAAAGGGTTTGAATGCTAAAAAAATTCTTTACTTTTTGTGAAGCTATTACACATTTTCTTAAAATGGTTTAACCAATTGGAATGCTTACTTAATTTTACATTTTTGATTCCTCGGAAAGAATTTGAATTTAAATTTTGTAATGATTATTATTATTATTGGAATACCAATATAAGATAATTAGATTTTGAATTGATTAAAATAACATGTCAATGTTATTGTCACATTGATCAGAAAATAAAAATCTGATTAAATGAAAGAGTGCTCATGTTCATGTCAGTCGACTACGTTTGTGAGTCGGAGAGTCCATTATGACGTCGGTAGGCGGTGACCTCTTTCGGGTGTGTCGGGTGAATTCTTCCGTAATGAAAGCGTTCAGTTCTGCGAGAGAGGTAGTTGTCTGACTGCAGTTTCTGCTTCTGAGCCCGCGTGGTAGTCCAGACGTGGGTGATCCGGAAGAATGTTGCCGTAAAGAAACATTAGTTCCGGACATGGTACAATTCAAACCTGAATTTGAAAGAAAAAAAATAAACAAATAAATAAATAAATATTCGTTAGAATTTTACAAATAATGCTAAATCAAGATTTTATTTTAATAATCTATATATATAAAAATGAATGTATGTCTGTGTGTCTGTCCTATGTCCTTCATGCATTACCACACCATTTATCCGATTGCCGTGAAACTTTGGGAAGTTGTTTAATATACTCCAGCGAAGGTTTGTGGCATAGTACGATTGCCATGAAACTTTGGAAAGTTTTTTAATTTTTTAATACACTCCCGCGAAGTACATTTATCCTACGATAGATGGCGCGCGTTTACACGAGCATTCGAGAAGTGTGTTTGATCAATTTCAAATTGTGAAGACCATTTCCCCCTTTCAAAAAATCTCTATATATGCATTTGTTATTTATGATATTTGTAATAATTTTTGTTTAATCACTTTATTTCAACTTTTTTTTGCTAATTACGTATTCGCTCAAACTTAGTTAAAACCTTAACTGTACCCAGAACAACAACCGAAGTTGTAGGAAGAAATTCGCCTATTTTACCGATCTAGGTATCCCCCCTTTTCCAAATTTTAATATCGACTCAAAATAATTTAAAAAGACAAATTACAATAAAACGGTTTATTATCCAACTATCAGAAATTTCACAACATGCCAAGGAAGAGAGGAAGGAGCAATTAAATAATGAAAATTATAAAGGATAAAAAAAAATATATAAAAATGGGGAATATCGCAGCGAGTGTGTGGGTTAAATTTGGAGAATCCGTGCTTCTCACATGGACAACTGTATGTGGCCGGCTCACGCGTCGGAAAACCTTCCGATTTATTCATGTACGTACCAGACGGAAAAACAAAAAATATCGTGTATCCACAAGCACTACAATAAATAAATAGAATTGAAACGACACTTTGAAATATTTTCCCGATGAAAATGAATAATAATAATAAGTTTCAATAAAAATGATAAAATGAAAATTTAATTTTATCATAACGAGTTTGCTTGAATTTCGTTTCTTCTGAGATTGCAGCAATGCGTGACGGGTAAGCTAGTTATCTATAAGGCATTATTCATTATATAATTATATGATATTTAAATTTTCCAATTAAAGTATGCAATTTGATATGAAAAGCAATGGTGTCAAATATTTTGAATGGTAGACCACAAATATTTTTCATGTTCAATACATAGATGATAGAAATTTGCCTACTTTAGTGCTGTATCGAATATGTTCATGAGCCAGACTGGTCTGAGAAACCACCTCAGTTTGGCCAATGAGGGACCAAATTGGCACCACTGACAAAGTATTCTAATGATTCTATTAAAAAATTCCTACGATCTCAATACTTCTCTTCATTATGGGAATGCATTCATAAACAACTAATTCTTGGAATCAGGTGTACACACAAAATTAAAAGTTTGATTTAAATAATAAAAAAATAGTTGCAACACATTCAGATTGCAATGTTAGATATAAAGGCAGTTCTGTTCCATTTTGGTTTAAACTTGATATATAACTTAAAACCACCATTAATCAATCTGTTTCCAGTGAATGCAATACAATAACAGTCTTTTTTTCTTTGACATCTGTGTGTATCTATGCTCAATTTTGCAATACGCACGTCTGGTAGACATACACATTCCATGCACTGTACCTACATCTGTTATGTGGCCACCTACAATTATATTCTGCAACGCAATACCAGACATTAATTTGTCAATTTGCAAATTTACAATATACATAACAAAGTAATACTAAATAATCATAAATGCCTTAAGTGAAAATTTGTTTCTTAACAGAAAATTTATATCTGAACTTCTACAATACCAAACAAATAATATAGTTTTTATCACTTCTTGCTTAATAAAGTGGTGCCTCATATTTTAAATTGAATTTGTTCCTGAAGGCCGTTCAAATTCCAAATCAATACATAAACCAACATCTACCAACCTGATTACAGTACATAAGTAATACACCAACAACATAGGTGAGTGCTTACAGGATGCAGATGACAAATGCGTTCCCAGCAGGTGCTGTATGTAAACGATAATGGTTATCTCATGTTTAAATATATCTGGAAGAAGAGTTCAGACTGGAGGCTTGTGTAGTGTAAATGGCAATGAATCTGCACAGTAAATGGTAGTTGCAGATTTCTGGAAATAAAGAAATATCCCCATCCAGGCCATTTCTTTTCTTTCAGAATTTTCTAATATAAGAAGAAATGGTACCTAATGCACCCTCTAATGACAAATTATTTAGTAATTAATTTAAAATAGTTATGATATAATAGCCTAATATAATACAGTAGTTGTTGTGTCCAAATAAATTTTTTCCATTAAAAATAACAGCAAGTGAATTAATCCATTTCCAGACCTTAAACAATACCCATTCTGATGAAGTTAAAACAGCAAATACACAATTTAAGGTAAAAATAACAGTTAAATGTCCTAATAAATTAAAACATGAAAAACAATAAATAAAATATGCAAGTAAATACTGTATAATAAAAAGAAAAATGCATTTACTGGTTACAAACCGTCAACTTTGGCATCTTAAACATGGCCACTGGATACTCCAAGTGTACCACTTCCATGTGTACAACATTCATGCTTTGCAATAAGTTCCCTTTTCATCTCAATGTGGATATTGCAACTTTTCTTTTAGACTTTGTTTCTTCCATATATTTCTCAGATGACATGGTTAATAAATAAAGGTTATATTGCGTTGAACAGAAAATTTGCTTATTTTTAACAGATGTAGTTAAGGTAGACATGTGATTTGATTATAACAGTTGTGAAAGTTAACATTGCTAATGTAAAATTGTATCCTTTGTTTATAAGCTTATTTTGAACTTTTAGTTCTGTTCGAGAAATTTTGAACTAAAGGGTACAAGGGTGCCCAAAAGCTATTGAGGAAAAATAACAAGAAGAAATTATTAAAAACTGACAAATAACACACTATATATTTTTGGTGTGTTTGGTTATATAAAATAAAAAAAGCACTAAAAACATATGAGTACAATGTGAAGGCAACAGACAACTGGGTGCCCAACACATGGTGTTTATGCTTTGACCAATTTTTTCACCGTGATTGCAGTTTGAACTTGAAGCAGATTCAAACTCCAAAGCAATATTTTGTCAACTTTAGTACTTGAAGTATGAGGTACCACTGTGTGTTAGTGTGCACTTTTGAAAAAATAAACAGAGCTACTTGTTTGTGGCCATAGCTTAGTCAGAAGTTTTTTTAAATCATCATTCACACAAATGAGTAAGCTTTAAAGAAATGTTAGCTCTAGCATGGTTAAAACTTTCGACTTATTAACTGATGTCAATTGCCAATGTGAGAGCCGAAATTGGTGAAATAAGTTAGAGACACAAAACAAAAAACAAGTGCTAAAGACAATTAAAACTGGTTCCCATGGACTTATTTCCTTGTTGAAGGTGACACATTAAATGTCTCACCCAGAACCAACAAGTGACAATTTGACTATTTGTCCCAATGTACTAAGATTCCTAACAAAGTCATGGGAAAAACTCAGGAGGAGTCCCCTAATAAAAGAGGAGGAGATAATGACAATCAGCAGCAGTCGTCAGCAACTCAAACTCTAAACGATGTGTGTTCTGAACTGCCAATTTCAGCCATCACCAATCGCTGCCTTGCTAAAAGGATAAAACAAAAGGATTTTCCTCCGAACAGTGTCTCTGAGGTTCCAATCAAACTGAGCATTGATACGTCATAGGACCAACAAATGTCTAAGGTATTTATTGTCTTGCGAATGAATGTGAGCTCTCTCTCGCAGTTAGGGTCATGATCGAAATAATAAGGTTCCCATATCTATATATCATATTATTAGCACCTGCTAAGCATCTGTAGATAGCTTATAACAAGTCTAGATAAATATACGAGTATTGTTAATTGTTAACTTCGTAGTAGCATGCACTTCTTCTAGTCGTCTCCATCCTGAATCCGAGCACCTACAAACGTAACCGCTCACACGCAACAAAAAGAAATAAAGCGGCCATCACGGTATGTGTCTACCCAGAAGACACACTGGTGTCAGCCCCGATGAATTAATCATTGCAGTCTTTGTCAATGCAATGTCGACCCTTTGGTCCTGTGGTGCCAAAGCATAGGGGGCATTCCAGCATTGTCACACCAGTTTGATGAGTTTTCAGATCAATTTTCCAACCAATACTTTATTTGGATTAAATATGCATTTTGGGTTATTCCCCCCCTCAGTTTAATATTTAACCTTTATTCACCTGTAATCCAATAGTAATTTTTATGAAAGTTTTATGAATCAGAAAAACCCAAAATGACTAATGCTAAATGATGCAGATCATGTAGAGAATAAGAAAACAGAACACGCCAACTCCAATGCAAATATTCTGAGTGCACCATTGCACGAACCAATAGATATTGACTTGAGATGTGATAACCACCAAGACTATTCATTTATATCTTATCCTTCCTCTAATCACACAAAGACAAATTTACGCCTTAAATAATTGCGACTGTGTCTGTACACAACCCTGCCAATTTTTTTGACCTGTGTAACATTGGTTAACTCATTGAAGTCAGTTGAAGCCATGGGAGAGGCAAAGAACTGTCAGTCGGCTTAATGATTTTGTATGGGACATTTTAAAGCGTGTGGCAGACCTCACGGAATTCAAGTATTTTTATTCATTGTATTCACAGTTGCTGGCTCCCGAGATAGTAATCCTCCTAATTTTGACAGATTGATCTGTGATACATTTTCTCTCAAACTACAAATTTTCACCTTCAGATGGCCTGCAGAATTTTGGGAGTGTACCAAAATATCACCATAGAGTTAAAGTCCGGTTTTTGAAAACAGGGGGTTTTTGAAAACACAATCGACAACAATCCACTTTTCCACCAAAACTCTGCCGCTTCCACTAAGTTTCAGGGCGGAATGGGAAGAAATGTAATGACCTTGAATGCGTCCTTGCTGGACCAAAAATAGCATGGGATAAGCAATTTCTCCCTCTCACAGAGTGTGCAATTTCTTTTGTTTAAATTATTTTGAATTTACTGCCTCTCTGCTTTAAGAAAACTCGATTTTATGATACAAAGCAAGTCTTTTTCTTATTTAAATAAAATTTACGAATTAATTTAAATTAAATCATGAAATTTTTTATATGATGGAGAAATGATGTAGCTAATTACATAAATTGATTTTACACAAAGTTTTTCATTTTTTATAAGTGAATGAAGTGTTTTTAATAAAAAATTTATATAATTGTGTGCAAAATAGGCTTAAATAGACTTGGCCGAATATTACATAATGGAAAGGGAAAATGCAGAGACATCAAGTCAGAGAATAATGTCATAGTTGGTCAGTGAAAGTTAAAGAATCACAGATGGACCCTGTTTATAGTAAAGATTAATTTTAATCAAAAATTTGATTATTTTAATATTTCTGTTCAGATGAGAACATAAAAAAATAAATTAATATTGTAGACATTCTGAATATATATAAAAATATTCAACAGAACAACAATTCACGCATCTATAAAAAAGTGCGAGATACATAACACCAAAAACAAAATAAAATCAGATCTACATAACAAAATATAAATCAATAGTCATTTATCACGCTGAAGAATTTATCTAAATCTGATGATAGTAGTCTGTACTTAAATCATAAAAAGCCTGAATGTAAAAATTGATTTACAGTGGTACCTCAGGTTACGAACGCCCCAGCATACGAAATTTTCAGGATACGACATGAAATTCGAGCATATTTTTGCTCCACGATACGAACAAAAACTCACCATACGACGTTACATTAGTTCGCATTTTTCATTTGTTTTTCTTACTACAGTTATTTTTTTTAATGTATTACTTGGCTTTAATTTGAGTATGTTTTTCGCATTGGAACGAATTATTTGGTTTTACATGTAATCGTATGGGAAAAGATGATCCACCTTACGACATTTTCATGATACGATCTCAGTTTCGGAACGGATTAATTTCGTATCCTGAGGTACCACTGTATTTCACTTCAGTGTAGATTATCTAAATATAAATTTTCACAGTTAATTTTTTGTATGTCAGGATAAAGTTACTATAAAATAAAATTTAGATTTATGTATACAATATCTTTCCATTTCCTGGCTAAAAACATCAGTCTAGCTATGATGTTATTCTTAAATATATAAGTGTAAATGATTAATTAGAGATTAATAGATAATATTATTAGAGATTAATATATAAGTGTAAATGATTAATTAGAGATTAATAGAACTATCATAATAGGTTAAGTACAAGGGTCATTTTAAAAGAAAAGAACGTTTTGATTTGACGAGCCATGCAGTTCGCCCACCACTTCCCACTGCCGTGTCACGGACCTTCCCATTTTTTCGTGCCAGTTTGATGCTAACAGTAAGTCACAACGATCGTTTACTGTTTACAGTGTGACTTTGAAATGTGTGACAAACTTAAAGGTCTTGCTAAGTGTGAGGTTCGTAGTGTAATATGCTTTTTTGAATGGGAAAAAGTCTGCCCTATCGAAATTTACAGACAGATAACTGAGGTTTATGGTAATATGATGAATGAAGCTTTAGTTCGAACAAATGGTGGGGATTGTTGTCCAGAGGCATTGTGCTTCTTTTGGATAATGCACATCTGCATGCTGCTATGTTGATGAAGAACTTGCTTCAGCCATTTAAGTGGGAAGTTTTTGAACATCCTCCTTATAGCCCAGACTTGACTCCAAGTGATTGCCATCTTTTCCCAAAACCGAAGGTTTTTTTTGACCGGGAATCACTATGGAAGTGACAATGAACTGAAAGAGGCCATTAATGTATGTTCAAGAACTTGGTGGTAACTGNCTTAAGTGGGAAGTTTTTGAACATCTTTCTTATATCCTGGACTTGGCTCTGAGTGATTACGATCTTTTCCCAAAAATGAAGGATTTTTTCGGCCAGGAATCACTATGGAAGTGACAACGAACTGAAAGAGGCCATTAATGACTGGTTCAAAAACTTGGCTGTAACTGAGTGTGCAGAAGGCATAGAAAAGCTGATGATACGCTATGACAAATTTTTAAATTTGTATGGCGACTATGTAGAAAAATAGCTAAGGTATCATATGTATTGTAAAATAAGTTTTGTTTCATTATCTTAAATAAAAATATCTAGAGAAACAAACATTCTTTAGTTTTAGAATGACCCTTGTATAATAAATAGGAGTAAACTATAATTTCTTTTTCCTGAGTCGACACAATGTTCTAACAAAAAAGAATTCAGATTTCAACTAGAATTAAATGTAATTTAATAATTTAACATATTATTAGGTACATATCTATTTATGTACATTATAGTTTTTTGGTTAAGACTTAAAAAGTAAAGTAGAATTCAATTGTAATAATTACTTATCTATTAATTTATACAAATACTGTGTTATTTATGTTCAAAAATATCAATAAAATTTACATGTAAATAAACAATGCAAGAAAAATATTTACTTACTTGAAAGTGCAATAGCTTCTCTGAATGTTTCTAAATCAGGTTCTCTTGATTCGTCTGGGAGCAAAACTTCCGAATCTGGTGGAACGGTAATTCGTGCTAGTGAAGTAGGAGGAGTTCTAATACCATCGTACGATAATCGTTGACGGGGATTATTCCATATGTGCTGTGGTGGTGTCCTGCCGCTGAGAAAGGCAATCAAATCCTCCCGACGTATATGCTGTTTTCTTCTTTTCGCCCAAGCTATTAAGTCTTTGTTTCTTCTCTGATATCCCCACTGAAAACCCATATCGACAACTCTCTTCTGCGATTCTATACATTCTAAAAAAATTATTTATGTACAATTAATGATGATATCAACATCATATTCTAACAAGATTAAGATCCCCTTCAATGTTAAATTAACAAATTACAAACAATCAAATTACATTAATTAAATTAACAATATTTATTACTTTAATTATTAATAAATTACTCAATCAATCTTGTTATAATTTGACTATCATTTTACATAACTCAACAATTTACAAAATCCTTTAATTACATTAGGAATGACAAAGTAACTTTAGAAATGAAACTTGTTTTTTAATGTTTAATTAATTAATTAAATGTTTAACTTAAAAATATTTTGATTTCCTAAGTCAATAATGTCTAAACTATAAAGTCTATCTGATAATTTCAGGAATACCTCCAAATTTCCATGTATGTTAAATAATCATCATTATGTAGCAAATTAGTCTAACAACTTTCTAATGCATTCAAAAATATTATTTCATCGGCTACCTAATCTCACAAACTTAGTAATAATTCTTATTACTTAATTCCATGTAAAAATTTTCTAATTTTGCTCTTTTCCGGAGTTGTAAATCATTATAAATGATTGAGAGAATATTAACATTTACATAACAAATAAAGTGCTCTATAACTTTATAGACAATTGTGTAATCACAACACACATTAAATATAACAATAACAACTGAAAGAAACTAAACAGTCTCCAAAGAAAAAAATTATGCAAATTACCATCTAATGTTTATCTTGTAAGCTATATTAAATGATAAACTTAGTTAAATATTCAAGATTAATTAATATTTGAGTTTTTAAAATTCTTAGTTTGAATTACTATTATACGTATGTTTTGAGTTTTTAGGAATAGTAGTAAAAATTTCAAGGCAATAAAAGCTTATTAATTTCAAAAAGCAAACAAATAATTCTCTCTCTCCAATTCTAAAGATTAGTTGAGTACTAACTTGCTTAACTAATTATGTTACTAATTTTTCTACTGCATGTTATTCATTACAAATGGACTTTCATTTAAATGTCATATATCACAGGATAAAGCCCATATAGTCATTTCTTCCATAAACACAGTATTATTGCTTTTCAAATATAGTAACATTATGTTGTGATCAAAATTTATAAAGGCTCAAGTACAAGTATTACTTCTGGAAAAATTAAATTAATTACTGGATTTCCAAAACTAAACTTTTGATAAATGATTAAATTTTTTTTTATTTAGTAAATATTTATGTATCAGGTAATGTAAATGTAAATAGATATTTTCTTATATAGAGATTGATAACAATGGAGTTTGTATATCCTTTCGAGGCAGATCAATCATCATGGGCATCAGAAATTCCATACCAAAGTCTCTTTTCTTTGTATTTTTACTGAAATTAATTCAAAACATAAATTTGGTATATAGAAAAATGTCACAGTACTTAAATGTATCATGAATGAGAGATACACCTGTATATAATTAAAATATAATTAAATAATTTGTAGCCTCATGCCTTTATATCATTCATTGCTATGGCTATCTTCATAATTCTTTATTAAATACAAAAGGGATTATTGTCAAAGAAAATAGTCAATGTTTACCAGTCTCTTCTGTGTTGTCATTTATATATATATTTGTCATAATTCATTATATTTGGATCATTATTACATGCAAACTGTATTAGTAAATTATTCACACATTTTTCTTTATATTATTATTATACATAAAGTTTGGCAAAAATCTGTGTAAAAATTTATGCATAGTAACTTATACAGTCAAACACTGTATAAGTTGCTATGTATATTCAGTTTTGCAATATATATGCCATAGTCATATGAGGAAATTTGCCATTTCTTGAAGAGTTAACACATCTCATAATAGACATTTGTTTCAGAATCTGTTTGGTTTTTCTGGTCTCTTCTTGAAATGTCTGTAGATATTGAAATGGGTGTATATTTCAGCACATGGCATAATAAATAAATGTGGAAACATTTAACTATTTCCATACTTCTGTGAGATACTGTGGGTTAATCCCTACTTATTTGGCAACAGTCTGCAAAGACCGCCCACGTTATTGTTTTGGATGGCTTTTTATCGAGTGGCAAAGAAGGTGAGCAAGTTGGCAGGCATCCTTTCAGAGACAGGAGACAGGTTTAACAAAATAATGAAATAAAGGTTTATTATACGGCTAACACTAAAATGCAGGAGGCTACACAGAGTTACATGCATATATCTCTAGATTATATAGGCTAGATGTAATTAACATAAGATTACAAAGTCTATGATTGACAACTGCTTAGTCCATTCTATGACAGCTATGCCTACTTCTGTTTGTTCACAGATAGAGAGATAGAGAGTTCACAGTCTGCTGATAATTATCTCTAAAGTTGGAGGAGTGCTATATGCAGTGATAACAGTTCTTTATGAAAGCATTGGGTGTTGTCAATGTCTTCTAATGGTGTCTTCTCAAAGGACTAGGTCAAGTCCATTGCATGGAGGTGTGGGAGATGGGGAACCACTAAGACCAAATAAAATGTCTGTGTGCAAACTCTTGAGCTTCCGGTGGTTCGCACCTTTTATATGATTGTCGTGGGAAATCTAACACGTGATCACCTTCGTTGACGATGACGGTGCAATCTTGACAGCCACTTGTCAACTTTGCCACTGACTTGTTACTATAACCAGTGACCTCTGATCTAATTTCTACTTCTCCGTTTTTTTCTAACAAAGATATTTACATTTTGAAAACAATTAACATTAATTTTTGATTTTAAGAGCCACATAAAAATCCACGGGCTCACACTTCTATATATTGTAACATGTGGATTTCTGGATACTGGAAACATGTTCTCAATGACAATTTTTACATATTTTAAATGTTTATTTTTAAAACTTCTCCTATGAGCCTTCTTTTGATAACTATTGTGATTTGCCAGGCCACAGTGGAGGATGCAGATGATGATAAACAAGACCTAACATATCTGGAACATCCACAAAACTGTGATGTATACATCCATGAAAATCCAAAAGTGTGGCAAACTTGGATTCAGTCCAGATTCTCTCAAAGCAGTATGCAAATCTGTCTGACCATTTTTGTCAACTGGCCACTGCACTTCCAATATTCAATTTGTGCAGTCTATTTACAGTGAAGCACAAAGCTGCTGAATTAGAAAATAAAATTATGCTGTATTGTCGCCAAGATTACATTTTTACTGCTTTCTTGAGAATTTAATATTTTCAATTAAAATTACTATAAATAAAAACAATTACAGTTTTATTGCAGAATGGTGTATTTAATCACACAGCATTCATTCCTGTTTTTTGTTATAAAAATCCAGTAACATAGCCAGGAAAAAATATATTCAGGAGGAACCCATACTTTACAACATTTTGTTGAACGAAAATTATTAGTAATTTTAAGTTTCTCCATATTTCATTTCATTTACATTTTACACCCATTAAACATTATTAAATTCAAAGTATAATATATAGTATTTTTCATGTTTACCAAAAAAGTTATTTTGCTATAATTAATATATACATTTATTAAAAAGGTATATTTTTTATCAAACAATTTACATTTAAAAAAGCTACAACATACAGAAGTGCAAAAACATTTGGTTGTTTTGTTTATGCCACATGTTAACAAGCCATTAATGTTACATGAAATGACTAGTTTTATTAGACAGATATTAAAATGTACACTAATTTCAACATAGAAACCAGATTAGCATTTCAATAAGCGACTAGAAAAACTAGATGGATTCTGAAACAAATGTCTATTACAGGATGTGCTGGTGCTTCAAGAAATGACTAGGCACTTCTTAAAATAGCAAATTTCAGCAAGGCAACAACACGTACTGGTACCTGCATATTTTAAATTAGCAACTTTAAATTGTGGTTTAGGGCATAACAATAGTGAATTCAATTTATTTTTTGCAAACTAGGTTATACTGCCACAATAGAGACTACTCTATATTAATATTACAAATTAAATCCAATTTATTAATTAAGTTCTTGATCATGCTTGTTGGGTATCCATTCTCCCTAATGATTTATTTTATATAATCTAGCTCAGAGCTAGATTATATAAAACAAACCGAAAGAGAACATGGATACCAAAAGCATGATCAAGAGCTTAATTAATTAGACACATTTAAAATCTGAAGGCATATACCAAACTAACATATATTGAATTTGTTATAAACAATTAAATTGAAATATTTACAAATATCCTAAAAGTTAATATAAAAATTCTAGTCACAGTTTCTTAATTTTATTTACCTTTATATAGACTTGTAACACTACCTGCAGCATTTTGAAAAGGCACCCATATTGAAACACCATTCTGTCTGTCTGAAATTATATTAAACACATTTAATAAACATGGATGCCTAAATTATACACAAAACTAGTCAATTACAAATCAATCCAATAAACAAAATAAATTTTTTGTAATCATAATTTAAAATGTACAACTTTTTCTGTAACTTAAAATCAAAATTTTAGCAGTAAGTTATAATATACCATATCAATATTCAAATCAATTAATATAAGATTTGCAACTTAAGTGGAAAGAAAAAAAACAGTGTTGCACAAATTACATATTATAACAAAAAATCTGCTTTGTTGGAGCTCTAAATATCATTTAGAGTGAGCTTGTCAAGCTAGAATCAGAACTGTGTGAGGCTTCTCTGCATGGCATTGTATACTCAATACCATGCAGAGCAGTCTTGCAGTTCTCAACTCATCATTTGATCCAGCCATTTTCCCTTCAAATATTTTAACCAGACCAAAAAAATAATTTGTACTAATTTTGACAGTTTAGGATTTTGTAATTTAAACTGTGTTGCTATATTTCATAGGGTCCTAGACAAAGATTTGGCCTGTTGAAAAGGACAGCTGGAATTCATGATAACTAGTTCATCAAACAGCTCACTATTGACCACTTATATTCTTATACAGGTAATCAGTAGTATAATAAGACCCCACTTAACACAGGGGATACATTCCAATAAGTTTGAGTGCTAAATGAAACAGCATTAAACAAAGTCATCTTAACACTTATGGGGATAAGCAAAACAGAAGAGAGAATAAAAAATTTATCAGTTTTTTTTGGTAACATTTATTGTTAAATACTTTTTTATTACATTCATTATAGGCTTATTTATTGCTAATATCAATATTTATTCATAAAACATTCATGAAAAATCAAAAAAAGTTTGAGTAAAGAAGTTATGTTTGTGATGAGGAAGATTCTTCCTCATTTAACATCTTTTGTTTTTTGTGAAAAGTCATCTAACATTGCCTCTTCTTATTTCATTCAGCAAGCAGTTGTTGATAGCAAGACATTGCATCCATGACACTTTGTCTTGCATTTTGAACTTCTATCAAAATTTAAACCATTTTGTATAAACTGATCCAAAATTTCCATTATAGTGGCTAAACTAACTTTTTTCAGAAAATCTATTGAAAGTTTCTTTTGCTCCTCATCTAGAGAAAACTAATTTCGTCATCTTCATGCACCTGTTGTTCTACTAATTCTTTAAGATCGTCATTGGAAAAACTTTCATCAGTTGTAACTTCTAATAATTCTTCAATACCTTGCGCATTTATAATATTCAACCCTGTCTCATTAGCTAGCTTGACAATTTCATTGACATCAACAATGGATTCTCATGTCAACATTCTTGCTTAGTTCTGGCCATACATTCTTCCATACTCCTTTCAAACATTTCTCAGTCACCTCATTCTAGGAAAGATTGTCGTCGTCTACAGCATCCATGATATTGTAGTTTTTCCAAAATTCTCTAATGGATTGTTTATCTTCTCCATCAGTTTCATCAATCCGTTGTTGGAATGTCTGCTGCAGATAATAAGCTTTAAAATTTGATATTATGCCTCTATCCATTGGTTGGATTAACAAAATTGTATTTGGCAGCAGGAAAACCACTTCTACTGGAATGGATATTGTTAAGTCGAACAAATGCGTTGGATGGCTTTACAATCAAAAGTAAAGCTTTCAGTTCTAGTTTTTTAAATTTGCAGTGGTGTTAAACAGACAGGCAAAAAATGTTCAGTAAACCAATTCTGGGAAATTTTCATAGTGATCCAAGATCTTTTATTGGACTCCCAAATTACTGGTAAAGATGACTTTGAAATTCCCTCCATTACTCTTAAGGTTTTGGAATGGTAAACAAGCAGTGGTTTTAATTTAAAGTCTCCATTAGCGTTACCACCCAGTAGAAGTGTTAAGTGATCTTTTGTAGATTTAAATCCTGATGCTTGCTTTTCTTTGCGGGATGAAAATGTATGTTTTGACAGTCTCTTCCAGAAAAAACCTATTTCATCAACATTGAAAACTAATTCAAGCTTCTCCAGTAATCTGTATGTTATGAAGATTGTTTTTGTTTTTAAATCGATCAAATCACCCTTAAAGACTAGCTACGAAATTTTTGCTTGTGTCACCTTTTTCATTCTGAATAAGATTAAAAATTGTTCTCACTTTTTCCATTATAATTGCTTGATTTAATAGCATATTGCATTCAACTTCAATCCAGATGGAAAGTTGTTTTACCATTTTCTCAAACACATTGCTTCTGGTACAGGTAATTCTTGTTGCAGAAGTTGTTGTGATTGTAGTTGATGATAATACAATTTTCGTTTTGTCCATTCTGTTGAAGTTGACAAATTTAATGCAGTGCCGATATCAGATTCCATTCACCTGCATCTAATCGTCTGAGCACCTGCATTTTAGTTTCCAGTAAAATGCTTTTTCTTGTCGCTTTACCTTCTATTTCTTTGCAATCACCCATTGTAAAAACTAAAAATTGCCATATTTATCACAATAAAATAAAATATTACGTTTATATCTTTATACGCACAATAATGTTGATGACTGACCATAAATCAACTGTGACATGGCAAATATGCATTCAAACTGCTATGATATGCGCCGCGAGACTGCATGTGAGTATCAAAGCAACAAAATTGTGCATGATTTCTGGGAATCCCAATATTGCGTGCGATTTTGGAGGAATTCCAATACCACCACATAATTCTGAAACAGCGTTAAGTGGGGTCTTACTGTACTTGTGTTTAGCTAATACAAGCTAATACATGTTTAGCAAAAGCAAGATATTGCCTGGTGCAATGTTTTCATCTACGTCTTATAGATAACCAGAAGAGATGAAGACATTTACTTTCTGAATTTCAACATATCTAGCTGCAGTATGTAAACTGCAAAAGATTATCTTAACAAAAGCTTAAGCCACTTTCAAGAAGGAACACAATAAAATTACTTCATTTTAATCATTTCCATTTGTAATACATGAAAAAGAAAAGCACCATTCTGCTTGGATTTTATAACGATCACAATCCAGATTTGAAACTTACATTTCCAAAAAATGTTCCCATATGTAAATTGTTTCAATTTTGAATATGACATTTTTGGATGTATCAATTGATTATAGTAAACAGACAATCGTTTTCTTTGTGATCCATGTAAGGGTGGGCCATTTCATACCAAACAAATCAAGCAATGTTGAATGCTGCTGGATTCAATTACGTTATTGAAAATAAAGAAATATGTCAATTTGGTTTCACACACAAATTAATTTTGTCCAGTCCAGTCACACTGAATCAAATCAAGACTTGGTGCAATTCAGCTAGTTGAGTTTTTAGATTAGTCTTGATCAGTCAATGGTAGGAAAAGGTGTATTGCCTATCTTTTCAAATAGAAGTATGGAAGATTTAATTGTGTTATTATAGGATTTTGAAGCAATCTATAATCTGAAACTATTCTGTTTATGAATTTTTCACATACATTAGAATTTCACTAATTCAGATTAATTTGAACCAAATTAGTGAGGTTTTTACTTGAAATCAGTATTGTATAGTCCAAAACTTACTTTAAATAAACTCAGATTTATACAACATGTACCCGAACCAGTTACCGGTGTTGGAGAACTCAAATTTATTGTGCATTTTATATAAAACAAGTAATGGTTTGACAAAGTTTTACATTGCAATAATAGTAGCATCATCATTCATTCTAATTGCCAACATATATTACTTTATTTATGATTCCTTTTCTAACTGTTCTTAGACAGATGCATCAAGATGTGATCAAAGAGTAAAATAATAGTTATTAAAGCCCAGATTATTTATACACGCACATCAATCTCTGTCACATACATTTAAAAAAATTACATAATGCATAATAGTCCAAATTACTGTAAATTCTGAATTAGTGAGGTTTTACTGTATAAGATTTCTTACTTTAAATAAAATAATTGTAGGTTTATTCAAAAGTGGTTGAAAGATTTGTCTGGATATCTAATAAATCTGGAAACAGGTAACCGAATGACCATTAAAACAGGTCTTCTGGTATTTATAGGATAAATACAAAATAGTTTTTGTCAGCTCTTTCTTCTTGTAATCGACATTTGTATGCTTGGAGTTTGCAGCAAAGTTAGATGGAAAAGATAAATTACTATCTGGTATTCTACTTCCAAACTGAACAGTACTTTCTCAAACACTTTCAACTAAATAAAGTATCTTTATATTAACCACATATCATGTTCAATACAATCAAAAAATAACCAGCTACTAAATGAATTTCATTCAATCTCTTACCAATGAGGTATCAAAACACAATAGTCTCTACAGTCTGACATATCCAGTAATCTGATACACTACCAAAGGGCAGCACACATGAAATTTTCATATTACTACTTGATGTATGTGAGAGGCCAATGTATGTGTATACTGTCAGTCACTAGTTTTTGTTGCAAACAAAACAAGTCTCAACCATAAACCAAAAGTAGACAAAGCCAAACCTCTTTGGATAGATATTTTACCAAGCAACCATTATCCAGTGAAAGTACTGGCGAAAGTGAAGGAAAGAAAGCAAAAAGCAGTGAATAAAAATTTTAAAAAAAATCTATATATAAAACAACAATAATTTTTTTTATCTTTTCTAAGTTATTTTTAAGTTATTGTTACATTATGTTATGTAAGTTAAGTTTTAGTATCATTTCCCTTCTCACGCCATCAGTTTACACCTCCACCATCGTCTATCCTCAAAGGTAAAGTACAAATAAAACATTTTTTTTTTTATCAATTATTATTCTATTATGGTTATTTATACATTTACAACTACAACACGCATTTTTCAGTGTTTTCCTTACTATAGTTATTTTTTTAATGTACCACTTAGCTTTAATTTGAGTGTGTTTTTCATGTTAAAATGAATTATTTGGTTTTACATGTAATCGTATGGGGAAAAATGATTCACCATATGACATTTTCATGATACAATCTCAGTTTCGGAACAGATTAATTTCATATTCTGA